TATAGATTTCCTTCTGTCTTTACATATTTCTCACGCTTAAATATGCATTAATAGGATCGATAAAAGCGTAATTGAACGTACTTTGAAAGAAAATTTAAGCTATATAGGAAGTTTCCGTTTTCGTCTTTGTTTCACATTTACTCGATCTAATCTCTTCTCTCCTTCACCTCATATCTCTTTATTTCCTCCAAAAAGATTAAACAAGAAATCGGTCTATGACCGTAATGTATATAAACGTTATATTTATCAGGGGATAGAGATAATGCACGGCCCCGATGAACTCGCACGAAATGGAAATGAAACGCAGACTTCGCGTTTGTTGTAGCTTCAGTAGTTCAGAAGCTTCAATGATACACAGTAAATAACAATCAGCGCACAACGTTCGGCATGTATCAAGAGTACGACGAGCGTAGGCCGTTAATTGCACCGCCAAGAAAGCGTAAGTGTTAATTATACGATCGCGATAAGAACCGATTCGCATTCGCGTTGCATGAACGAATTTGACTTTGCGATAAGCGCGCGCGTGTCGCAAAATCGCTTATATTGCGCTACGGATACGAATCCAAGTTGCAATAAGTGCTCTGTAAAATTAGTCCTATCCTCGACTTGCTCCGACATCCGTTGTCAACAATTGTTACATCAAATCATCATCGTATCATCATTTCGACTTTTCGAGCGTATCAAATCTCTCGTCTCTTGCTCGTGCACAAGAAATGTAAATTATTATTCACTGATATGTTACGTATCTGCAGCTGGAAAATCTTATACGAAGTGTTAATTATTGCTTCTACCTCGTGTATTATGTGCCCTGTGGTTTATTTTTGTTAAAAGTACAATATTATTAGAGGATACTACAGCATTTATTCGAAACAAAACAGTGTGATTTACAAAAATTACGTGACGATAATAATAAAAGATTAAAATCACATAAATTTATTTAGTATTAAACAAACATAAAAAATATAGTAAAGTCAAAAAGTCGGTGGTTCATTGAAAAACCAATACGATCTCGATCCTCGCTATAGACTACAGAGAGTACAGAGCGAGATCGTGATAAACAAAAATGTAAATTTGATCACGTGACTCATATGTGAACACGGTGATCATAACCTTCAAATCAGTTTTTTCTGCGAAACAGTATTCGAGTCAAGATGCAAAATTGTTTATACTGATGGTCTCAGGAGAGACCTTATGCAGGAGCTTCCTCAAAAAGTCTATCACAGATTCCACAGGAATCAAGGATACGCAGTTCGGAAGCTGATTATTAAATAGCGTCGGGATCCACCGTGCGGAAAAAAATACGGGCCGTACTTGCTCCTTCAGGGCCTCCGCTGTGATTAGATTTCCGTTCTTCATCCTGACACGGCACGTCCGATCCTTAATGGATACGCAATTAACCAGATGTATGTTGTCGTTCGCTGAATACGTAAATGTCAACTCGCTCCTCGTCGTTATCAAGCCGCAACTAATCGCTACGACCGTTGTACTCTCGTGCTCCGTAACACTTCGTAATGACAGTCAAGTTTAAACATTGACGCAGCTGATATCTCTTACTATGCAGCTCGACGTCATCGCGCGCTAAAAAACAAATTTATAAATTAATTTCAAAAGTTTTCATAATTATAATTTTAAGAGACATTTTCAAGTCGTCGCTAATCACTGTGTACAACATTAATTATTATATAATTTTAAGTTACTATTATCTATGTATAAAATGTGAATAAACCATATAAAGAATATGAATAATAATAAATATGAAAAATATGAATTTAAAGTCGTAATGAGATAAATATATCTAATCTTAAGATAAAGTATATTGTATTAAGTAAGATACATTTTGAACGATATATGAGAAATAAAAGAATTTACAAAATCCTTACATCTCGAATCTATGTATATGCATTAGGTACTCAAAAGAGTTGTATTTCTATCTTTTTTAATCCGCCACTTAAATGCAGAATTCGAAATTTTACTTCATAATAATTTAAAGGATATACATCTCTTTCTAAACAGTTACGGAATAAAATTTTGGCGACTAACATAATATGATAATTGATAATAAATTAGTTATGCCGGTCAACGAGTAGAAAGCCGGTAGAAAGTGAAATAGGAAATGGCTCGCAACGCGAATGTCGTTACAATGAAAATTGTGAAATGGCGAGTCATAATAGATTGCAATGTATCCTAAAAAAGTATAATATATTAATAGAATGTGCTCTATAGGAATCTCGTTTCTATTCCCATTTAAATCGATACATTAAATACCGGAAAGAAGAAAGCAAAGAGGAAAGAGGAATTTTGAAAAGTGACAAAATATCTATGACAATATTAACTGCGCCTTTATACTAAAGACAAGTTACATTTTTACTATCATTGCACCCTATAAACAAAATCTAGATTAAATTGTGATAAGGTTTCTCCTCTGAAAAAATACTGTTGCAGCTGACCTTGTCTTGTTTATCAGTTATGCGTTAGCTGATTTATAGTAGACACGCACACACTTATATGCGTTATTTCCAAAGCTAAAGATTTTCCGCATCTCGGACCTTTTAATCAAGACAGGAATCTCCCACAAAAGAATCTCCCAGAAAACCTCCATTTATAACTTCCTGAAACAAAATATAAGTAAAAATTTTAGTGCATTATTTTTGTGAGAAAATTATTACTTTGTCAGAATATATGACAGAACATAAAATATAAAATAGAAGTTTGATGAACTCTATTTTTTATATTGCCAATAATATTTTTCTAAGCAGAAATATGGAATATATTTCTGCCTTTTTAGAATATAACATTGATTAAAATTAAAATTTATATATTCGTCTACTAAACTAAAAGAATTTTTGCTATTAATAGCTTTTGTTGGAATTAAAAATTCTCTGTCAGGTCAAGGTCTGCTTGGAATAGATTTAAATACATCACATTATAGTGAAGTTTAATAGAACGCACGTAAATCGGCCTGCATGCCATCCTCACAGATAAAAGCTTAATGTTGCACGCACGATTTACGTTTGCATAATGGGTCGATAACATTAAAACGTGCTACGTGTCGTTCTTTGTCCTCGAACCGTTTTTTTTTATCTACACTATTTATAATAAAAACACAATTTTAGAAACTTTATATACATATAAAACTTATTTGCGTCTATTCATAGAAACTATATGTAACAGCTTTTACTTTTTATCGTATAAATTTGTATAATTGTATTTTTATTATTTTCTTCTTCTTTAACATACTGTATTTTCAGTAGAGCAACTGTCGAAGTTTCACATTTAACACTAAACAAAGCCGTCACAGCAACTTTTCGCAATACACGCAAATTCGATTATAATTACATTTGATAGAATCTCTATATTTTAAAAAGATAATTCAATGACAAAGTCGCTACTATTATTTGTTCCGCAAAATGCACCTTCCAAAAGGATTCTTGTTGGAATTTTTAAAATTGAAAGATTTAACCCTAATCCCTCCAATCATGCCTTTCGTGTCCCACGCGTTTCTAAGGTCATTTGTTCCGGAAAACCAACGGCCGTGGGATAATCCCCCCAACCCCTAAAGAAAGTTATTATAGTAGGGAACATCAGGTAGAAATTCCAGAGCTAGGGCTCTGAACTAGCCCTAGCTCTGAAATTTCTATCTAATGTTCCCTTTACTCTCGAAACGACAAACAGTCAAAATCTCGTTGATTAAATGACGGAAAAAACATTGGAGGGATTAGAGCCGGTTAACGTTAAGTCCTATTGCAAAAAAAAGGAGATTTGTAGATCATTTGCCGAACTTTAACAACAATTTTTTTTCACTTCTCCAATCCTTCCTATACTTCTAAGAGTGGGCTCTCTTGCTCCCTGCGTGGGGGTATAAATAAGCTCCGGTGTTCAATGACTGTTTTGCGGAGTTAGACGACGAACGACATTCAAACGGTGATGATCGACGTGCGAGAATCCCGAAAAATCGTTGAAAACATTTGTTTGTGAGAAAGTGTCTTTCTGTGTTTATTCCCGAATTAAAAGTATAATATGAGGCTCCAAAGATTTCAACGGCGGCTCTGTCAATCACTATCACGTGAGTCAAATTTTTCGAATCTCTGCTTATTTTCCTGTAGAATTTGTCCCACATTGCAATATTTTAAAATTAAAAGATTTAGCATTAATTTCCATTGCAAAAAGACTCAACACTGAAATTCAGAAATCGTTCTGACAATCATTTAAATCTCAAGAATCTTTGCTGTCTCATAAATTGAATTTAAAGATATTACAATAGAGTTTTGCATAGAAACTCGCGGAATTGATGTAACTCTAATTTTCTTATTATATTCGTTTGTGTTCAATTTGTTACAATTTATAATCTGTTCATCCTTTTCGAGCTCGAACTTCGCAATTTTCTTCACATATGCGTTTGTAAGTTTTCACTAAGGCCCAGTTTCACAATTGTCGGTTAACTTTTAATCTTAGATTAACTCACTCTTCGTCTCCTTCTAACGTCCCCCTTAAAAAGAGACGAAGAGTGTGTTAATTTAATCTCTCGATTAAAAGTTAACCGATACTTGTGAAACTGGGCATAAATTGTTATCCTAACAGTATAAAGAACACACTGTCAAATATTGACAGACTTCTTAGATATAACGATAATAATTGTTCGTGCAATGTACAATAAGTCTATAGCTATGAGACGTGAAGAATTGAAAAAGAAATAATAACACACGCAAGTAATGAGGCGCCAATAAGGCTACTAGTTACAACGCTTTACTGATAACAAAAAAAAACAATAGTTAGACACACGTGCCAACAATTTCCGAAGTCTAACGACTTTCATTCTCCATATTTTGGAATAGCGATTTTTATGGATCGAGCGGCTTCAAAATTAATACTTTGTATTAATTTGAACATGGATTGTCAACTCGAAACATCTGTAAATTACTTGGAATACTTTGAACAGATGCTTTGCATATTTTCGCGATGTGTGGTTCGCGATGTTTGCATAATGTACTTATATATATACCTCGTAGAGAGAACTCGAAATCGCGTAATTACAATTTTTTAAAATCTCTTCTTCACGTGCACGAGAGTGTGCAATGACACGATAACGGTTTCACTGAACTGAACACATCGACAGAATTGTAAATGCAATTTGCAAATGATTCAAGATTTGCAATGACATGTGAGAGAAACTGAATGCATTCACGAATCTAGTTGGCATGGTAATGCAACGCAATTCTGTCAATCGGCTGCGAATTTTTCCGCTTCTCCGAACATTATTCCTAAATGCGGGCATTACGCGAAAACGTGCTCTCGATTCGCACTCCGGCGTTTTTCTGGAAACTTTTACGTAAGTACGGATCGTTCGACGGAAGTAATCACGGCGAAACGTCAGGAGAGATATAGGCGATTGTTATTAGACTAGAGCAGGTTATTCTCTATTTTTTGCTCTTTTTACAGGATAACATTCTCGAAGAACTCTCTCTTTAATATGTTTCTACTCTGAAACATGTTCAAGGGTAAAAGAGTGCCACAATACATATTAAAGGAAAGATAATAAATATTTTTGTTTTTATAATACTTATCTCTATAATCTATCTGCAAACATAGATTTTCTAACATCCTATTTCAGAAGTCGTAACTTTCCTACATCCTGCAAAGCTGAAATAATGTTAATATCATTAGAAACATATCTGCTTTGATTTGTCATCAATTTTTTCTTTTATTTAAAGTTGATAGTCTTTTTAGAAAATATAAATATATAAGCACAAAAGTTTGTAGTTTTAAAAATATTTTAATTTCTCACACGAATTAAAACTCCTAAAATAAATTCTCCATTAAGGAATTAGACTGATCTTTGCGGAGCGGGAAAAATATCACTGGAGATTTCTTTTTTCTGCAGGATGGATTCCGGTACGCATTTGGATCTGCGTGATGATGTTCACCGCTTGCTGGACCAGCTACGCGTGCCGCTTGCAAATGCCGATTCTGGTGGTACCGATGATCGAGGAGCCGGCGATCAATCACACGGTCAGCGGTGTGTGCGTGTTCAATGAGTCTCGACGACGCCGCGACATTGTCATCAATCCACTCGACCCTGCCAGCTACCTGGACCAATATGTTCTGGATCTCGTCCAGGAAGAGCGGGATAGGAAACTGCTGCATTCGTTGCAACGTCGCCAAGCGCAACCAGTCGCGACGCGATCATCAGATACACCCCTCGCACTTTTTAGCGGCCTGCCGTTCGATTGGTCCCCGACGGTGCGGGGCCAACTGCTGGCCAGCTACGCTTACGGCAACGTACCCGGCAACTTCATCGGCGGCTGGTTGTCCCTGAGATACGGGCCACGTCGCGCAGTTCTCTGGACATCGGTCCTGGCCGCGTTGATCTCGCTAATCACCCCGATTCTGGCACAGTGTCATTGGGGCTTGTTACTGTTCTCCAGGATCATCATCGGCATCACTGGCGGTGTCACCTTTCCCGCGTGTCATACCATGGTAGCAAAGTGGGCACCGCCGCACGAACGGGCGCGCTTCATCTGGTCTTTGCTGGGTGGCACGTTTGGTACGATACTGACCTATCCAATGATAGCTGGTATCGCAGAGACCCTGAACTGGGAATCCGGCTGGTACATACCATCCCTGTTGATGCTAATGTGGGTCTGCGTGTGGGCACTGGTTGCCTATGACTCGCCAAGGGAACACCCGGGCATCACTGTCGAAGAGAAGGACTACATTTTAACGTGAGTCACGAGATGACCGACTAATACTTCTTTTGCAATCAAATCGGTTTAACGACTGACGTGATTCTTGTAGCGCTCAAGCGGGAACGGTGCGCCCCGAGAAACCCCGGTGGAAACAGACCCCGATGCGGGAGATATTAACATCGGTGCCGTTTATCAGTTTGATCATATGCCATTTTGGGAATCTCTTCTTATTGTTCTTCTATCAAAACTCGCTCATGCTGTACTTGACGAAAGCGCTGGGATTTCAATTAACGAAAGGCGGCGCCGCGGCCGGCGCGCCGTGGGGCGCCAGGATGCTATTCGGGTTCTTCTTCAGCTGGGCGGGTGATACCATCAAGAGGAAGCAGCTCATCACCGTTACCCTCTTGCGCAAACTTGCGACTATATTCTGTAAGCATACCATGCAAAACGGCACAAATTGCGATAGAAGCCAAACTGTATTTTATTCAAACGCAAATGACACGAGTTCTTTCAATTGTGTGAATTACTAATATTCGCATTATTATCCGAATTATTAACATTTGTATCCCGAATGTATCGGACATCCAGATCGATTATATTGAAAATTCGGATTAACGATTCAGTAATTAGAATTTCATTCTTCTAGCGCATCTTATACCGGGCGTCTTCCTGATATTAGTCGGCTACGTCGGATGTGACTTCGTACTAGCGAACGTCTTTCTGTTCCTGGCATTGGGCTTCAACGGCGCTGCCCTTATCTCCAATCTGTCGAACAATCAAGATCTCGCGCCGAACTTTGCTGGTTTCCTTTATGGTATCATGAATACAATCGGTAGCAGTTCCGGTATGATTATCCCGCCGATAGTCGAAGAAATAGCTGGCAAATACGGGGTAAGTCTGCTTCAAATCAATTTAATGAAAAAATATACTAACTTTTGTCAAAATTAAGTGGAAGTTATGATCCATTGATTCTAAGCGATTATCTTTCAATTTCAAATCTTTCACTTGTTAACTCTGCTTTGCAACTCGTGTCTTAAAAATCATCTACGGTACAATAATACCGGTTATATTTATTTTATTATTTCTATCTGTGTAAACTGCTTATCTGCAGTCTAATTGTATAACTCGCGTAATTACGTGATTAATTGTGATCATCAAGATCGTCTGCATCCCGAGCTGTCATTCCTTGTTTATGTGACGTTGCATAACAGCATGACAATACATGACATGAACAGCCAAATGCGACTGGCTCTCTTATCTACAGCTGAAACAGGTGTAGATAAGAATACCGAAGAATTAACATCGAACATCTCTTTAACAACTTTGACAATCTTGTTGATCGTGCGGCTCGAGCGCGAGCCTCGACAGGATAATTCTCCGAATCGAACAAGAAGAGAGACAGCGGACACACGCGACATTACGCAAGCGGAAACGCTTAGAGCGGGAAGTCTCCGGTTGTCCTCGCGATAAAAGGATTGCCTTCCTCTTTGATTCTTTTGTGCGCAAATTGTATTTCGGGTCACTTTCTTCTTCAATCTTTAAGCGCTGTTTGTTTCTTGCACTTACAATCCTTCTTGTACGAAGATTTTAACATAATTAAATATTTTCCTTTGTACTAGAATCCGATTGACAGATGGCAGATACTCTTCTGGATAGGCGCCGCAGTGTGCATTGGGAGTATGGTTGTGTTCCTGTTCGGAGGTAGTGGTAATATACAAAAATGGAATGAACTACGACCGCTTGAGGGACCAAAGGAAAATGTGGAGGCTGGACAAACCAATTTGGAACCTATCGATAATACTGCGCGAACTTAACTGACGGTTCTAAAGAATTCAAAATCTTTGTCTAGCAATGACACGTCGTAAACGGCACGATAGAAAAGTTTAATTATTGACAAGGATGTTCCTTATAAGAGTCTAGGAAACATTTGAAAAAGACTGAAAAATTAGGACGTTTTTAAGATTAGAAAAAAGTTAACTGAAGATTGTTTGAAGACTTTTAAAAGATGTTTGAGACACTAAGCTATTCAAAGGATGCCCGAAATAGAAATAGAAATATTTAAAAAATGTCTACAAGATCAGAACACTTAAAGAATATGTACAATATAATTATATCGCATAGTCCTTTGCATAACTTCGTGTTCGTTATTTATCTATCTTCACGTTTGATAATGTCGTTTCATTAAACTTCTTTATATATTTATATCGTGATCACTATAGTTAAATAAAAAATTATCATTTCGTTTATTTCATTTTATCTTCGCAATCAACTGATGCACATATCAGATGGCCCGAAACTACTGAACCGAGACCATCTCGTATATATGCAAGAATCGAATAATATCAAAGTGATAATAGCGTAGTAATAAATATAATAATTTTTACCTGAACTTTTTGTATCTTTATATAATTCAATAATCCGATTATAAAATGCCATGTCAAAGAAAAAAGGAGAAGAATAAGGATCTGTGAACAAAAGTTAGATTAATTAAGCAATAAATAATGATTATTAATATTCAAAATAATGATTATTAAGAAACTAAATTAGTTTTTTTTTTAAAACGTTCCTCAACAAAGGACGGCGAGGCGTAATACACATAATCTATTACATATCTTACATTATCTAATCATAGTATTCAATCGCTTGCATCACAGATTGTTATTCAACAACACATAATTAATAATCTTCTAAGAATATTGAATTCAATCATTTTTTTGTACACAAACATCAGCCAGTAATTTCTGAAGTAGCCACCAAAGTGTCCTTCCACGATGGTCCTTAAGACGTAATGTCTTTACTCAGTTTTACACATAAAATAATCACTCTCTAGAATAGCGAAAGAGCAGCATTCCTCGCGCACATGGCATTCCAACAAGTCTGGCATATTCCTCCACCTCGCGTTTTTCCTCACGCGTCTGGTACGTTTTTCGCTGCGTTCTGTATTTTTTATATGGCATCGCAATATTCTTATATAGTACCAATACCTAAAGAGAAAATGTTTCAGTAGAATGACGAAAAGTTTTCAACACTACAATAAAACTTAACAAATTTTACAGTTTAAATTTTAGAATGGTGAAAACAACACACGCGTGATCGCACTTTTGCGATATAGGCGTAATAATTGTTTGTAAAATTATCGGAATACCTCTTCAACGTCGACTACACCATTTTCGTCGATGGCGTTGATTTCGTCGTTCAGACGACTGTACTTTTCGTTGTTCAATTTAGCTAGGCAGGGATCGATGTCGCACCATACATATGTCTCCGGGCATAGAAGCTTCGACGGCCGCATTCTCGCTTTGTATCGCATCTTCGGACATGTGTGAATGTAAAAACCCATGTAATAGTATTTCAGATTATTTGCGACTTTGTTGAGCTGTCTCGTTAGATAAATCTCTCGAAGAGAACTAGAAACAACACATTTATTCAGAGATGTAGCTAATCTGCGAATTTAATCACATGTATCGTGACTAAATATCTGTAAAAAAGTAAACTTTAAGGACTACAAACCTAAAAGTTCCGAGAGAGAGTTGACTATATGCCGGATCGTAAAAAAAGTACACGCTCGAAATGCACGACGGCAGAATATCTATCACTCCCACCGCTATCAATTCGTTATCCAACCAATATTGCTCGTGAAAAGAGCCGTATCCGTGAGGTGGTCCACTATCGGGTATCCATTGCTTTAAAATATTACATTATTTTAGGTTCTAGGTTTCGCTTTATCTTTATAACGACTATCACAGACTAATGGTCAAAGTGACCCAGTTTAAAGACATTATAGACTCTGCGCTTTCGCAAAGCACAAAATAATATTTGCGTAACAATACTATGCATAAATGAGTATTTCTGTTCACGCTTAATGCATAAAAAGAAAGATTCTCAAAATTATTTTCTATTATTCATAAACACAGAGATTAGATACAAAGTGTACCTGCAAGGGACTCCTTACAAGGAAGCTGAAGAATGATTTTTTATCACATTGATCCGGTGTATCGCCGTGAATCGCCATTTGATATTTTTTATAAAGACTCGCGCTTGTATCGAGCGTGTTCACGAACTCGTCCGACATTACTCTCACCAATTTCATCTGACAAATTTATAAGAAAATTTGCAATATCCAACAAATAAAGTAACATCTAATGTGGAAATTACTATTGTCATCGAACGCAATCATGAGTTCCCTGTTTGATTAAGAGGCGAGGTCCACTTTGCTCCAATCATGATACAGCTGTCTCCATATAGTATTAATTTTGTCATCGCGAAATCGCCAGTGTAACTTGCCATTAATGTATCCTGACATGATTGTATGACTTGGAGTAGAATTAATCAATTCCAATAACGGTTGGAAATAAAAAATTGAATCGAAAGCGCAAAGCTTCTATCTATTACAACTTTTTGCACAGTTACCGTATAACAGGCTTGTCTATAATTTAAATCTAGAAATTACCTGCAGAGGCGACTTCACAAGAAATCTCGTGTACTGTTGCTCTGTGAGCTTCTCAGCCGGTACTCCGTGTATCGTGTTCTGATACTTTTTATAAAGCTCGTAAGACTCTTTCGAAGTCTTTAGATATTCGGAGCTTATCGGCGCAGTTCGAACCAGTCTCAACTTACAAAAGTAAATAACTTAAAAAACACAAATCTCTATCCGAACAAGAAAGCGAATAACTATCGCAATAAAATATATGTAGACTCGTTACGATTAGTTTATAATCAAATCGCAAGATCGGAAAGGTGAATGATGGAAAAATGATATGGATCAATGATTTCGTGGTGCAATGTAGCTTAATATGTATATAAATTAAATCTTTGAGATAGAGCCAGCATTAAAGTAGCACTATTAGCAAGTATTTACTGCTATTATTGGATTTTTGATTGTCATCTGTCTTTAATATGACAAAAATTGGAGAAAAGAGGACCATACCGACAAGGACGCGTATAATAAATAAGAAAGAATGCTATTTTTGTAAGTAATAAGTAATAAGAATTAAGATCTGATAAATTAAATAATGGTTTCAGAGTTTAATCGTTGATGTCGTATTACCTCCAACTTCTTCAATCCGGTGTGCACTTCTTCAAATAATTCCTCTATGCTCTTAGCACTATTCTGTCGTTTCTTTTCCTTCATGATGCTCTCGATCTCGCTCTGCGATTTACCTTGAGCCACCAACTTATTTTTCTTACGTTCTATGCGTAAGAATTTCGCCTTTTTGCAAGGTACCGCATTGGCGATTTCATTTCTAACATGCAGGGTACCTTTGCTGTTGGAATTTGTTAGCTGTGCTTGACCGCAACTCGATACAGAAGTAGAATTTTTCTGAGTTTCTGTTTTTACCGAATTGATAGACAATCTTCCATTAACTTCATCATCGACAGATGAAACATTAATCTGAGACTTATCTTTTTGTGCTTTCATCAAGTGCTTAGGATAATTCAGTGCTTCTTCGTTGCTTATATCTATAAATATTATAAAACTAATAAGCAATCCGTGAATGTTATCACTATTACAAACAGATCCTTCAGAATTCTATAAATTTTACCTATATTATCTTGTTGATCCTCATCCATACCTCCAGCACTGTCGTCCATCAATTCGTTTCTCAGAAACTTGGTCATACGCTTCAAAATCTTTTTCTGAGACTTTGATATTCTAAAATCTAGTACCTCACATCTAAAAATCATTGATCATACATGTTGTTTAATGCACTGCTTCAATCTGTATCGCTCAAAGTTAAGCAAGACTTAGTCCCGCTCTCAAACCAGGAATCAAGAATGTTACTCACTTAATGGTATACTGTGGACAGCAGGTCTGATTCATCGTGGGTTTATAACAGTAGCAGCCGCTTCGCCTCCATCCCCTGTCTATCAAATTTTGATAATCTTGCACCGTCAACGAGTGCGCCCACATACCTGCGCAACGAACAAACGACTTGGCGATATAAAACTCAAACTTATGCCTGCGTTTCGGCTTGCTCTTTACAGTTTTCAACTATATCAGAGCGATGTGAAGACATCCCGAGGCTCTGCGAGGCAGAGTGCCTCGACGAACGGCAAAATTTTCGCGCTCACCATGACTGAAGTTCGTGTTGGGGTTCTTGCAGTAGCCGCATCGGTAGCCCTCGTGTTCCGCGTAGTACTCCACGATGCTGTATGACTGCCTGCTGGCCATCTCGACGATTTTCCTATCGTTGCTCGGATTCCGCTGCGACGTGCTAGACGAACGTTGTCGAAGGCCTCGCTCGCGTGAACGCGTCTGAAGTCAGGCACTCTTCCGGATCGAACGGCTTCGTTACTACAACACAGGCTGTAGGTTAATTCAAAGCTCATTTCTCTATCCGTCGATTTAACAATGTATAAATCGCCATTTACCTTCTAAAGTCACGCTTTTATCGCTCGCACCTCGTAAAACTGTCAAAAGGATTGTCAAACGCAGTTCTGAGTCACGACGCACGATTATCTAGATACGAGATACGACGCGCTTCGAGCTTCGAGCAGTTCGAGCCTCGACTCGCCAGTGCCTAACCCTAACCTCCTCAGGTAGAAACGATCCGGAGCGCAACCGAGCCTGACGTCCTAACCTATCATCTCGGTTGACATCAAAAGAATTTAAAAGTTCATTTGAAATTATACGCAAACTCATAAAATCCGGTAACAAAATTATTTAATGAATTAAAGCATTTAAATCCATGTGTTAATTACTTCGAGTTAAAGATTGTTTTTTATTTTTAGAAAACCTCCAGAAGACCAATTATTTGTATCAATGATATCGAGTAGGCATCGCAGAGGACAAGTGCGACGGGGCTTGTTGTGAAATGTTATCACCTTCCTTTTAGAAACTTATGCGGGATGGAGAGTTCCGGCGAAAGTGCGTCGAGCAATCAGGCACCTGCTCGCGGCGAAAGAGTAAGAGCTTCCTTCAATCATTTGCCTGAAAAACAAAATTGATTGCCGAGCAAAAGAGGGACGGTTTTATAATCGTTCCGACTTTGTGTTTGCAGAAGAGTACTCGGGGCTCGAGGCAAAGGGCCGTGGATAACTTGAGCAAGAAATTCTTGAGGAACTTCGATCCAGAGCACAGCGAACGAGAGAAGCGTAAGCTATATCGTCGATTGTATCAGAGCTACAGGAAGCACCTGTACAACGACGTGGGCATTTTCATACGGACGTCGGACGATCTTTGTGACTGCTTGAGCTTGGATTGTCCTGGATGCCACTTTCCGTGCCCTAAATGTTCTTCCCCGAAATGCGCCCACGACTGCAGGTAAAACTCTATACTTTCCATATCTGGCAAAACGCCTATAGTCCGTTCTGTCGCGAGATAATCCATTCGAATTATTGTGACTTTGTCAGAAATAATCGCAAATGGACCTACGATACCATCGGTTGCGAAGGAACCGATCTTGCGATAAAGAACCCACTGCTGAAAGAGCCTGAACCGAAGTGAGAGTGTAAAAAAAACATGCAAATGCGCATCTGTAAGTACCTGTACATAAAATACCCTCAGGAATTACTGGATTCTTATATTATTACTTTTATATAAATTGTATTTAACAAGCGAAAATGAACTTAATAAATTCCTGAAACACAAAGAAGAAATGTGCTTTCGTACAATATACTCGTCTCGGAACGAGTCTTCCAGGGCGTCGCAAAACGTACAAATAATTTTACGTTATTTAATCGAGCGACCGTAATTTCGCCGGATTCAATTTTCGGGGCTGAAATCTCCGCGCGGAGACGGCAGATCTCGCTGCAAATCGATTTCGCTGAAATTACGACGTCCCCCGTGATCCGTAATTCGCCCCCAGGGTGCACCCTCGCGCGGTCACGCCACTGACGCCGCATACACCCACTCACCCACACACACACGTGGAAGCGCTATTGATTTTCCCGTGGCGCTTTCGGTGACGCGACGGTGCGTACACGTCGCGCGCACACCCACACCACGCAGCGCGGAGGGCGCGCGCTTCGTTTTCATCCGTGAAATCGTCCAAGTTCGCGCGATTTGGGAAAGGAAGAAAAATAAAGAAACAGGCAAGATTATACCGTTATCAACCGTTATGTCAATCGCGAGAGAGTCACGGCTCGCGAGTCAGTCGTCGATCGGGGCGTAAAAAGAAAAAAGCGACGCGACCAAGCCCGGAACGGATATCGCATTATCGCACTCGCGCGCGCCCGCCGTTTCCGCGCGAAGGTAGCCGCGGGCCGCGGCCGCCGCGCGACGAGCGGGACGGACTTCAGGGGGGTTGACGTTCGGGAGGCCGCGCCGCGCAGCGCCTAGTTCGCCGCGTCGGTTCGTCGCGATTCCGTAACGGGCGTAACGTAACGTAAAATAACGCGGTGACGAGAGACGAGGAAAAGCGGCCGTTCTCCGTCCGTGTCATTCGCACGTTTTTGGCCGCCACGGTAGTGAACGCACGCACGCACGCACGCGTACGCAGCGCGAGTGACACGACACACGCTCTCCGCCGCGAGGAAGTCGTCGGATCGCCTGGCGAGTGGCGAGCGCGGCCGAGCGTGGCCCGCCTGCGGAACCGAAGAGGGAAGCTCCGACGAGGATCTTCCGTTCGACCACAACGGCAGGTTTCCCCATCTTGATATAAGTCCGTCCGCCCTTCGCCCTCCAACGAGATCCCTTATATATTTCGTCCTCGCTCCTGAGCGACGCGACGTTGTCCGCGAATGCCCCCGTCGAGCGTCGAGCGCGACCACGGGGGTTAAGTGTCGCCGCCTCGCTGGGTCTGTCTCCCCGGGTCCGTGACCGCGTTTCGCTTCACCCTTTCCCGCAACTTCCAACGCTCGTGCCTGCTCCGATTTTGAAAGAATAGTGCATGAAATAAGTGCGTCCCCCCGCGGGTACACGCGCGAGTTCTCCAGTTGTCAGTTTAATTGTCAGTGCCCCGACACCGTTCGCTGTCAATCCCAACGCGGCGTCGACGCGCGGCGAAACGTCGATCAGGGTCGAGGAACGATCCTCGTGCGGAGGTACGGTCAATCGAGGGCGCCCGACGGCCGCGGCGGTCAAAGTATTCCCGACCGGTCGGCTCTCCGGTCGAAATGCGATTATCGCGTGAATCGCGTCGCGTATTAGCGAGCGACGTCGCGAGCTTGCGTGATTGCGAACGGTGACGAAAACTCCAGGGATAGAACGATAGAACCTCCGGCGAGGTCGATCGGGGTAATTGTGACACGGAGGACCGGTGGGAGGGGATGGCACGGCAACGATATTTTCCCACGGGTGACTAAGGCACCCTTCCACCTTCGCGCGATCGTTTATTAAAGACGAACACGTCGAGGATAACGATCGCGAGTTTTTCAAGTAAAAATATCTTCGAAGACCCGGCGTGTGCTCCAGTATAATTTCGGTAACGTCGTTTTCCGATGTCGCGCGACTGCGAATCCTTTAGTTCCTGCAAATACAAATACGACGATTGGCAAAGTGTATTTAGTTTCCGTGCGGAGCGTCGAAATTGAACGTTTGTCGAAAGTACGCAAAAACCAGGACAATTTTGATTGTCTCGCAAAAGTTCTTATATTCGAAGTAGCGTTTTCTTTTCTTTAAAACGATACAATTTGCAGAATCCTGCAAATCCTGAGGTCAATTGCATCTTCCGCGCTTCGTATCTTTTCTTCCTCTCGTCGTTTAATCTTAAATGCAGAAAGCGCAAGAAACGTGCGACTAAACGATGGACCTGCTTTCGTCCCGCACCTCCAGATCTATTTTTCTTAATAATTAGCTTTAGAAAAAGTACGCTTTAAAACGAAGCAAGCGTATTTGGACCGTGTCGAGCGGAGAGAGGGAAGGAAAAGAGGACTTGCGGCGTGACGTAGATGAGGCAAGTGGAAAAAGCAGACTTTTCGCGGACGGCCGGTCGCGCCGCGCCGGTTGCGGAAGACGACATTTGTCTCTCTCTATCTCCCTCTCTCTCTCTCGACATACATAACGATGTAAACAGTAAGATTTGAAGCGAATCGATCATTCACAGCCGAGAGTTTCAAAATGGCAGTCCTACGTTCTCCAGAATTCTCGATTTCGATTACAACTCGCGCGCTTTGCTATTCTTTAACATCATCATTTTTCTCCGTGGTTATTTTTAGAATAAAACAGATACGTGTTTGTATGCTCGGGATACACGCAAGCGTGAAATATATAAATCCGATTGTTCGGGTGATTGCGGAGAGGTGCGGGGGGAGGAGGGGCGCGGACAAACAAGACAGACCCGCATGAGGCTGCGCGACGGGGTCGGGCGGGAACGGCGGGAACGGGGGGGCCGCATACGGTCGTATGCGGTTTCGTGGGTGTCGTCATCGGAGGAGTACACGTCACGAGATATGCGCGGACGGATGTAACCTTTCGTGGGTTCAGATTATTAGCCGCGTGGGCGAAGCGCGGCACGGAGAGTGTGGCATGCGCGCTTATACATGGGGTGTCCCGTTACCACCGGATGTCCCCTTTCGCCGCGTGGACTGTCTTGGCCGACCTGGAGAGTCGCGTCTCCCTCGAGAAAACTGTCAAAGTATTCACGATTTCCGAACTGAGGTTCAGAACGTGGTCGCTGGATTTTACTTCTATGAGCTTAATTCGAAAATCAATCACGAAAACGCGCGATAAAGACCGGAAGGACGCGAGACTGCCGCTCGATATTTTCAACCGAGGAGAAGAATCGTCTTCGGATCGGCCGGTCAGAGGGACATCGGGTAGTTTCGAGACATCCGGTATATAACTTGTATTATCGTGTGCGGCAGGTCGGGCGGTGTGATCGGGAGAGAGTTCGAGGAAGGTGATCGTCTCGTACATCCCCCACGGCACGCACACGCACGCTCTCTCTCTCTCTCTCACTCATTCTCCCTCTCTCGTCTGGTCTCAACCCCCGCGTCGTCTCTCTTTACGCGGACCCCGAGCGCCGGGGGTTTACGTCGCCGGGACGGCAGATGTCAGGATGCCGGAGCAGAGCAACGACTATCGCGTGGTCGTGTTCGGGGCGGGCGGCGTCGGCAAGAGTTCCCTCGTGCTGCGCTTCGTGAAGGGGTCCTTCCGCGAGTCCTACATCCCGACCATCGAGGACACCTACAGACAGGTAAGCATGTGTGTGGTATACCAACCCCTTTCAAACGCGCGATTTTCTTGACCCAATTTTTTTCCCTTGAATGGGAATGCATGCTCGTGCACAGAAAAAAGGGAATATTTTTAAAAATTCTTTAGTTTCAAAGTGGAAATTTTGAAATAAGGTTGCATGTTGCGTTGAACAATGAAAACTTGCTTGAATGAAGTCATTTTATATAATCCAATGAAGAAAAAGATTGTCAAATTCTTGTAAGAAGATTATAGATTGTTGCGTGTATGAGAAACAATTAACGCATTAATTTGAGTATATATGCATATAATTGAGCACGTATATAAGTTTTGATTTGACATTTCTTTTTTTCTGTGTAGCCGCGAAGACCGCGGCCGCGCATTTATCTCGATCCGTAACGCGTGTAATTGATTTTATTAATTGATCAGAGATAACGATCACTTCTCTCAATGAAGAAAAGTTAACTGAAATTTAGCCGATTCTCTCTCTCGCTCTTTCTCTCTCTCTTTGATGAAGAGAGATGAGACAAAGAATCAGATAATCGATTCGACCAAAATACGTGCACGTTTTTTCTTCTTTGAACCTTTACGAATTACTTATATTGGACTGTATTAAAATATAAATAATACAATTTCGCTCGCAAAGTTATCGCGTATTTATAATTGAGTCTAGTTGAAGTTTCGTGAAACCGTAGCATCGCGACGCGTTTGACGCGGTCCTTGTCTATACTTATCGATTTCGATTCGCGGAAAAATTAGTTAGAAACGCCTTCGCTCGCGCACGTGCAAGTATCGCACGAAATTTGGCAGATTTCACTCCTACGTCGCTATAAATTATGAATCGCGCAAAGCGAACTTTAATGCACGCGGCGCGGCACGTCGCAGTCGGACGCAACACGTAGACGGTAATTTCCGCGGGAGCCGAGATTTCGCGATTAATCGGATATGTCCCACAGTATCCTCCCGCGCGCCGCACCGGGATTGCGATAACTCTGCCATTCGCGAATTTAATATTCCCACTCCTGTGCAAGCACATCCGGCCGATAATACGAAAACGCGACGTGTGCGCGAGCAAAAACATTAAATTTGCAAACGACTCGCGCGGCCGCGGCATATTGAGAATATCCGCGCAAAGCGCGCCGGTATAGCGAAGTAGAATTAGCGGTAATAATACACGCTAATCGGGAAAGTACATCCCAGAGACACACATTGCGGATCGCGACTGCTTTACGTTTTGCCGTACCGCGAAAAAGAAGCATCGCGTGTTAATTACGCGCTACGACACATTATTGCGTCACAACACGTGGTCAGAGAGAATGACAGGTCGTTCAAATCGTCAAGTCCTGCACGCGGTAACGTCATTTTCATTTAATTTCTACGGAAAATCGAGATCTTCTCCGCGCGATCTGTAGCACGGTTTTCACGACACCGATACACGCGTAAATTGCATATCGATGTTAGGGCCAGCGCACGAACATTGCCGTAGTGTCTTACGCATCACGTGAGAATATTGCGTTACGCGACACGCAAGCCAATCTTACGGCAACGCACGAAGAAAAGCGTAATGTAACGTACGTAACATAAGACTAATTACGTTACGTTCTTCTTTTTTTGTGTTGCCGTAAGATTGGTTTGCGTGTCGCGTAACGCAAAAATCTCACGTAGGGCGTAAGACGCTACGGCAATGTTCGTGCGCTGGCCCTAAACTCGTCGATCTTGAATCGGGTACTCGTACAAGTGCAGGTCAAAGCAACGACATATAATGACTCGATTATATCAGCCACCCGCCGCGCGTTGCGCAACGGTTTTGTGTAACGATTTCGCGTGTGACAATGGATTGATATGACGTATAATAGATATAGCGTACGCATACGTATATATCCACAAATTTTAACAGAGGCACGTGAGCGTGCACGGCACGCACGTGTGTATGTGCAATGTGTATGTATATTTGTATGACAAAGACACAATGACGATGCTGGTGGGACTCTCGCTGTGTGCGCGACGAGAAGTGTCACTGACGGTATCGCGCGGGCCGATCTCCGATTTAACTCGACTCAATCCGGTACTTACTCCGCAACCTGCGGTTCGGTTCGATTTGACTCGGTGCGAGGAGTCCGAGTCAAGTCGAATCGGAAATCACGGAGTCGCGGAAGTCACGAGTCGAGTCGAGTCAAATCGAGTCGGATCGAGGCCCAAAGTCGCGCGACCAAGTCAACGGATCGCATTAACAATATTTCAGGTGATAAGTTGCGACAAAAACATATGCACACTTCAAATTACGGACACAACGGGGTCCCATCAGTTTCCCGCTATGCAGCGGCTCTCTATAAGCAAAGGTCACGCCTTCATCTTGGTGTACTCGGTGTGCTCACGGCAAAGCCTCGAGGAGCTACGACCGATCTGGGCCGTGATAAGGGAGCTCAAGGGCCAAGATATCTCGCAGATACCCATTATGTTGGTAAGGACTCGCCGCAACCCCTCCCATTTGTTTCAGCTTTCAGCTTCCGTTTTTTCCCTCCCGCGATACGCCGCGAAGCCGCGGCCAGTAAACGAACGAACGCTTCCGCGCTCCGTTTATAAATACGTCGTCTGGCTTATCTTATCGAGTTTTCGCACCGTGAATAATAACCGTAAAAAATATCCCTAAATATCCCTACGGACGATATTTCGCGCGCATGTCGTCAATTCGATAAGAGATGTTCGTCATCAATACATAAGCGAAAGATGATATGAATTCTCATGACGTCACGATTATCGCGATATATCTGGATTGAATTTTGCTGTTCTCTCGCTCAGCATCGATATTTCTAGTAAATTAAAAAAAAAAAAATCGTTTATTGGTGGCATACCAGTCATTTCGTCGATTCGAGGATAAAAAAGGAAGTAATTAAAAAGTTACCATTTTCCTCATACCACCTTCGGATAAGATGGAGCGGAATTTGAGGAAGCTCTTAACGCTGTAAATCGACGTGTTCGGTTTCTTTCTTCTTGAAATTTGACTCTCTCGGAGATTGACTTTCGGTTTAACTTGGTTTCCACGAACGAGTGGATTTCCATTCCTGCATGAGACCCCCCCTGTTTCGTTCCGAGCTTCTTTTTCGTGCGTCGTTTTCTGCAGCGCGACTCATTGTCATGCGGTTCCATCGTTGATTCATAACTCAGGTCGGGAACAAGTGCGACGAGAGCCCGTCGGTGCGTGAGGTGTCGATGAGCGAGGGCGCAGCCGAGGCGGCTAACTGGGGCTGCGGCTTCCTGGAGACCTCGGCCAAGACGAATCACAACGTGGACGCCCTGTTCCGGGACCTGCTCACTCTCGAGAAGAACCGCTCGGTCTCGTTACAGCCGGTGCAGAGCAACAACGCGATAAGACTTAAGGAGAAGTGTGCCATTATGTAAAAATTCGCCACGCTCCGACGACGACAACGACGACACGTGCGATCGCCGGTGAGGCCCCTCGCCGCCTCCGGGGCGCAGCATCCCCGGATCCGTCGTCTCTCGAGATGGGGCCTCGCCGCCATATACCCGTCGAATGATATCCCAAGCCGGTTTTTCGCCAACGACGGACGACTTGTTCGCGACTTGAATCCCTCGCGGCTTCCGACTCCGTCGAGATCCGTCAAAAGGTTTATAGCGTGTCGTACTTTGTTTCGTTCGTACGAACGCGGGCCTAGAGAATATCCGCGAGACTTCGAATTTTTAAAGATAATTTTTTAAGGATCCTAAGAGAAAGTTTTAGAATTTTCAATTTCGAGAACGAGTCTGGGCCTTGACGGATTAATCGGTGCGACCTGAGGAAGACCAGGAGGCGTTTTAAGTCGACGAACACGTAGGAGTTGTACTCGAATTCGTTGTATCTGTTGCTCGTCGATGGCGAAGCCTTTTTAATTTAAGTTACAATACTTTACGCAATAGACCGCTCGATCGCGTATAATTTCTCTGTGCTCGATGATGACAAATTACTCGAGTTCCCGCTCTTGTTTTTCTTGACTCCGTCATAGAATCGTCCGCGGTAATCTCGATCTGCGACGAGGGTCGGCAAAAGCAACGATATCAGTTTTATCACTGAAAACAGTCGCGCGTTTCTCTCAGCTGCGGATACGGAAAGTCTGGCGATAATAATATTGTAACGAGCAACGTTACAAACTAATCATTATCTGCACGCAACATATCACGAGATGTAAGATATCGAAATATCTGATATTTTTATTTAAAGACACGAGAATTAATTTTTATAAAGTTTATTCTGCGTTATAAAGATCTGGTCACTTGTGACCACATTTTCAAAAAGTTTTTCCCATAAATATCATCATACGTTCTTATTTTAATAGTAATGATATGAATAAACGATAATATAATGCTAACGATATATAAAAGTCGTAATTAATTATAATTAATTCCTCGAGATAACAGCGAGACAAATCCGAGTTATCGCGATTGATGAAATCGCTTCTTGTCATAATTAACTTCAAGCTCTCCGTTTAATAATAGCGACGGATAATTAGTAATTTCTATAAAATCTCTTTTTTCGCAGGGCCGAAAAGACCCCCGACGATTATCGTCGTGTAAAACGATTACAAAATTAATCTCGTGCTTAGTTGAGCGATTATCAGGATAATCGTTCTAGCGGGATTGTCACTCTCTTTTTCAGTTTCCGCTGAAACATTCACACGTCTCAAAATCGTTCCTTTTGCATACGGATAAATAACGAATTGTCATGGAAGATCGACGAATACGAGGCGCGGTTTTGTCACTCGCAATCGAGACGGTCTACGAGGTGGAGGGCAGCCGTAAAAGTAGCCCTTTTTCCGTAGATCGATTTACTGAATCTCGTATATAACATAAAACGTATATCAATTCAGTAAATTTGTATCGAATGTGAAAAATGTTGAAGATACGCGAATCCTGTAGAATATGATTGAGCTCGGCGGGCATTAAAAAGATATATATAAATTTCGGAAAGTGACAACGTTAAAAGATTCAGCAAAATGTACCGTACGCGAAGATCGTTTAAAAAAAGAATGAATTATCGCCGAGCGCGTATCTAGACTCGAGGTAAAAGTATGTTGAAAAATATGAACCTGAATGTGGTTGAGGGCTTTAAAAAGGGATCGTCGGGCCATTCGGCGTGGCCTTTTTTCGCGGACCACCTCAATTTAGCTAACGTGCTGAATCGATAATAGCCGCGACCGGTGCCCTTCCATGAAAATTCCGCAATGCTCCGCAATCGGAGACTACCGCACGACGACTAGGGACTGGTGTAATGCGCGCGCGTGAAAGTTTTTCGTGAGGATGACAACAGAGAGAGCGAGAGAGAGAGAGTGCGAGATTAAATGAGAGAAAGAGAGGGAGAGAGAGAGAGAAAGATATATGAAAGTGCGTGTGCGAACGACGAATAAACAAGTAGATAAAAGTTGTTACGAGATTGGTTTTTGTTGAATAGTTGTAAGAATTTTGTAATGACTACGCTAGCTAATTAGAGTTACAAATGGACAGCAATGGACATAACACAGCAAATCCGCGTACACACAGCAACAAACATACACACGTATGCAGAGTAACATGCAAGTTGTATTAATTTATAATTTATATCATTGAACGTGCAACGCAGCACACACTCACACAGACACACGCGTAGGCGCAGATTCGTTGACAGGCGAATCGCGAGAGATTACGAGATTGTAACTGTACATGTGATTACGGCACACGTTTTCCATATCGATGCAGCGTTTTTAATGGTTTTTTTTTTCTAGTAGGAAAGAGTTAAACCTGAGGCGTTTTTAGGCGTTCTCACGGGAAACCTCGGACGAACATAGCAGAACGTAGACAATTAGTGGAATAATTATATCACGTTCTCTCACCTATTCCTCTCGTCCACCTCCCGCCTACCCCCCTTTTGCGGCACATCGTTGAACGTATCCGTATAGTGTTTCTCGTGACGCGCGTTCTCTCGCGGCCATCCCTTGTCATCCCATTTTACGGATATATCAGAGAAGACCGGAGGCCTCTTCTTCCTCCGCGATATATATGTTCCTCGGGCCAACGTCGCGACGCCGCCCGTCGCGTCCGCCGGGCGTCGATACGATCGATGTAACACCACGTCGCGCTAACGATGATGTTGATAATGACGATGATGGTTCGCCGCCTGCACTTGAACGCGTCTCGACTACTGGGCTCCGTGTGAAGGGCCGTATTTATAGCCGTCGACACTCGAGATGGCTAGTGTCTCGAGAGTGTATCGAGTGATGTGCATACGCTCATCAAGGACCTAAATCGAGTCCTATCGAGCTAACATACATATCGCGTTCTCGCAATAATGTCCCTCGCGGAAAAACTCGTCGAGTTACAATATTACAATATTCTAAAGCCGAGTATTGAAAAGTCGGATTTAAAAAAAAAACATACTCCTTATATATCGCGTCTCATCCCATCCTCTCTATACGGCTGCTCACTCGACGCGTTCTCATTTAACTTTGAATAGGAACAAAGATAAGATCCTATTGAATCCTCAGACGGCTCCGCTTACATTGCTTTACTTATTGTGTCTGAATAATTTAATTGCAATCCCGCTATAAATACGTAAATACACGCTGTGAGAGATATCGCGGCAAGGCCGACGGACGCGTACGGCGGCGACACGAGGTTAGAGCTAATCGGCAATCTGAATCGAAATTGGAGATCGTCCTTTGAACAAGTCGACAATATGTCCCTGGCCGGGCCGGTGCGTCAGTTGCTGGCAACGTGAATGCCATCAATTATAGCGATCATCGAGGCGAGCCGAGGCTAGAAATGGCCATTCGGAGAAGGTCACCAACGACGAATATTATTACAGATATTAAATAATGTCGTTCAGACTGAAAATTAATTAGAAAAATTAAGACTAATGCAGTTATATATATTTTTGACATATAAAAATACGATTTATAGTGATCACGGAAGAAAGTTTCGAATTGCTCGGACGGCTTGTCTCGAGAAAGAGAATCTAGGTTTGTAAGTCACTTTTTCGAAAGATGACATCGGAGAATAATATAAAAACTGTCAACGTCGAAAAGAAGTTCAGAATGTCGATACCAGTAGCTGTCGCTGGCCAATCCTATAGTGGCGGCCACGCTGCGCCGTTTTCGTTGCTCGAATCTACATATCCGTCGAGGAGGTACTCGGGACTCTTATCCAACGAATTACACGTAAAATCATCCGACGATTCACCCCCGCGGCGCTCTCCGTGTCTCTCACTCACACGGGGAAGGGAAAAAAAGAGAGAGAAGAGAAGGCCGAATCGAGAGGGACGGGAATTTGTTCGCCGCGTGATATTACGAATTCCTCCGCGGGGAATCGCTCTCTCGATCGAGCCCTTAAGTCCGAGCTGCCTCGATCTCGCGGAAGTGAAAAATTCCCGCCGTGCTCGTTTTGACTCGTCTGATTTTCATTCCCCCGAACCTATCGCCCCGGCTGCGGCTGCTCGGCATTCCGGACTCCGCGCCGGTCCGGGCTCTCTCGGTGTTTCCGGCGGAGCAAAAGAAAAAGAAGAAAACGACGAAACAGCTTTAAGGGACGGAGATCCCATTCCCGTCTGTCGACCGATAGCTTAACGAACCGCGTATACCGGATTGTCTGTCACGTCTCGTTGATATTACTGCGACGCGCGCTGAAACGAGGTCGGTCCTCGTGTGTATACGTTGTATACCACTTGTACGTAGCCGTGTATTACTTGCTACAACTACGATTGTTAGGCGTGCTTCGCACTTCGCTTCATCGTAGGTAATTATCGCCATTGTCGTCGTACAGAACGTCGTTTTTGCGTGACGATGTTAAGCCGAGCACGGTAAACGGTCTTATATCCCACGTTCTAACGGTCTCCGCGAATACGCTAATCTCTCATCTCGGGCTGTCACGTTATCGTTTATCACGCGACGCGTTTGGCGTTCGCCGTGCTCGGAGAAGCGTCATCGCCGAAATTTTTTCTAATTTTTGCGCGAGCAACGAGGGAAAAGGGAACGTCAGAGCGCTGACCCCTCCTTCCCGACGATAGAAAGGAACGACAGTCCCTCGCGCCGACCTTCGGCGCCTTTTTTTACGAGGACCTTGTTTATTAAATCATAATATGCCGTGTTTAAACGTAGCGCGTAACGTGTTTAATAAATGATCGTTAAATAATCCGAGGAAATTCCTAACTAAGTGTAAATTGTATATAAGGTTTTCTATATTCAGAGATATATCCCGATACCAAAGTGTATACATACGTACCTATAATTATTACAATTATTATTAGAGGATTATTAGTCAAAGGTGGTTTTTTGCGAGCGTTTGCTCTCTTGATTCCGACGAGGCAGCACGTGGCGATGAAAAAAAAAACAAGAAAGGAGAAGAGAGCATTCGCCGCTACTTTCTAAATCACTTGTTATCAAATTGGTCGATCGATTACGAACCACACGTAGTATTATCCCGTAATTATAGGGAGTACCAGTTAGTAGAATAGGATATATTATATATTAAATAAGGACACACACACACGCAAACACACATGTACACGCTCACACGAAGAGATACACATTGACATTAATTATGCAAAATGTATGTCGCGCAGACTTCGTCATAAAGGTCTACGTACTGTCGTCTTTATATATGGGAAAGTGCGAAAAAGTGTCATTTTCTCATTGTCATGCGTTTAGCTGTTTGGAAATATTTTATTTGCTGGCTAAAGGAAATTAAAAACGTAGGCAAATCGCTATCTCGAGGTAGGAGAACGCGACGGTTTATCTTATCGATTCCAATACTTTCTTGCAGTTTTCTCGCGGCTTCAATATTGGAAGGAGAGAGAATGGGCCGATGTAGATTTTTGCGACTAATTAGGTAAATGGTATGTGTATGCAGAGTGTTTTCCGTCTCGATTTTTGGACTATCGACTAACGTGAGGTCGATTTCTCTTTAACGAAGATGTCGCAGTACCGTACGCAAATTCGCGAGATCGACGAAAGTAAGAAATACGTACGTGAAAAGATCGTGCGTTTGCACTTTCATTGAAAAAAAGAACAGAGGAGAAGGGAGTCGAATGTCGAATAAAATAAACTGCTCGGGCAGTTGACTTCCGAATGGAACGTTGCCAGAAGACACAGTTGCCGATTGAATTTCTTTTAAAGACAAATCGACCGATGAACTCTTGCCGAAACATCCGCGGTCCAGCGTAAATCGTCAAGGACATAGTCTGTAGGTACACGTAATAGATTCAGATTTAATAGAATCTTATCGAGAGCGAGATAGAGATTACGAAGTCGAGCTTTGGGCTTTGAAGACAGCAAGGAGAAAGGTAGAAAGAAATTCAGAGGGGAAGGACAAGTTTGTGAGGAGCGGGAATGAACGTATATACGTAAACTTATACGGACACACGGTATCCTCTTAGTTGCTGGGGCCAATTGGTGTTACGGAGGGAGAGAATATACGTACGTGCGCATTGTGCCGCTTATACCCACTTCACGATGGCTCTTCGCATTTTCGCCATACGAAATTATCAATTTGGGCGAGCACATAAAAATGAAATCGGTGATTTTTTTTATAATTCATTTGACAACCTATTGGAACTTTTATATTTTCGACGTCTCGCGTACGTCTTTTCGCAAATCAAACTGTATAATCGAGTCGAAAGTCAAAAGTTCTCTCACGCAAGAAGCGATCAAAGATCGAAACATTATAAAATGCCACGTAACGTATATCGAAATTAGAAATTTTGTTACTACGACGAGGATAATGACGAAGTGCGACGAGAGCAAAAGTTAAGCAAGTATAAACGTACGTATACACAATACACACACGTACACGTACACACGTCAGGTGACAAAACGAAACACACAACGCATTGCAGTAGCCGAAATATAAGAGTATAAGGATCTCGAGTGATATTAAAGCGCTTTCGTTGACGCAATGCGATCTCAACGATATCGAATCTGATGCTGCGTTATCGGGGAGTTTTGCGGTACGGTATCTCGAATACGGTAAACGCCGAAGAAAAGCTGCGAGTCTCATGGCAGCGACTTTTTATCACCCCCGTTCACATCATCGTCGTTAATTATATTATTATTATAAATGTCGACGTGAGAAAATTATCGTTCTGATGTAAATAATAATTTCTGATTGTTGTATATACGTTAATTATTAATATTACACGTACATTAATTACCTTATCACTTAATTGGGTCATATTAATAGAAGCGGAGCGATTGCTCTTAATAACGAGAGAGCAAAACCAGAAGAGGGTCTTTCAATTTTTTGCTTTTAGTATACGAAACATTTGCTTTATGTCTCTTATATGTCAAAGTAAAAGATGATGTTAGGCAAATTTATCAAAGAAAAAATTTGCTCCACTTTATTTGTTATGATCTGACGTAGCACCAGCGTTTAGCGTATTCCAAGCACAAATTGCAAAAGATCTCCATTATCAGCGTGATAGTTAAATACGTACTTCCGAATGGAAAGAAAAAAAAAGAAAATCCGGCCCGAAGCGTCGTTCGACAAGTGCGTTGCGCATATTTTGCCGCCGTTTGTAGGCGCGGACTCCCCCTATAAATCCTCTTCGCACAAATAACAGAGTAACGACGACAAAGTAGCGTAACTTACGACGGACCATATCAATGAATCATATCAACCAACACAAAAGTAAGAGAGAAAAATAAGAAGGCAAGGAGGATATCGTCGATTTGTGAATCTGGGGCGTGCGAGGCGGTAAGTTTTTGACATGTGCTTTTAAATGCAACGAGCTCTCCTGTACAAAAGTATCGCCGATTTTCAGCGGTCGTTCTTGCTGCTAACTTACGTTATACGTTCGTCGAGGGAAATTCGTATTATTCGCGGATTTTAATCGACTGTATATTTCATATAACCGCGCCAAAGTTTTCGTGGACGAAGCCGTTTCGTTTTTTTTTTATACAAATATTTATTCGATCGTACGAAGGCCTTTGAATTAAGATTTGTGCATTTTTGACATTAAACTTCCGCATCATATCGCGACGTAGTCTCGCTTGTAAGATACGAATTCGCGCAACAATTTAGAAATATGCGAAAGTACGAATTCGCCTCGACGCACATTTGTTTAGGCTTAAGCTTGCTGTAAGTGATTAATGATTTGTTAAAGCAACTTTTCTTGATCTCCGTTAATCGCGCGACGAAACGACATACAACGCTTTATCCGCAAATTGCTTGCCGCGAGCCTGTAAAATCGAGATGTGCGAATAAATAAATGTATAAAAGTAATAGAGAATGAGATACAAAGGAGACACGAACGAGTAGAGAGGAAAGTCGCGCGTGGAACGAATCTCGATGATTGTTAAGCAGGGATTACTCAATGAAACCTTTCGCACCTGGAACCTGCTGCTGAGCTGAATGATGCGATCGAGATAAAACTAATTTTAATAATTTCTATTGTATTTTATTATGTATTCTATTTTGGAAAATTTATTGCCAAATCATCCGGTGTATCCTCAAAAATAAGAACGTGAAAGATAAAAATACTTACATTAGGCTACTTTATCGGAATCGCAATCGTGTAATTTTTTTCTGCAAGATGAGGAGAGGCTCAGATTTTATTGCATTCTTTCCCGTCGGACATTTATGTGATCCAGACGTATTTAATTATCGATCGAAATGTTTAATTATATAAGGTTTCGAAGCGTCGGATTTATTTCAACGTTATTCTACTTTGAGATCGTATTCATGGCGGCTCTTAATATTTTTCGTATCGATCTCCCGACATCATTCAGTTCAGAATCTAAAAGTTCGGGAAGGTTTTTAGCTGCTGAACTGGAAACGGGCAGGCGTTCGGCGGGATGAAAAGTTCCTTCACGCGTTAAGGACACGTGAGAATGAGGCGAGGGAGGAAAAAACGCGCGTTCCCACTCTCTGTACACGTTAAAAATACACACGTTCCACACACGTATTGCGAGAGTGCACGTAGAGAATGGCGCAAAGGGTGTCTAATTATCTATTTAAATAAGCGACCAATACACGCTGAGATAAATAGGCTTGTTATTGCGACAAATTTGCTCATTCATTATCAACCGAAGAATCGTTAATCAGCTACGAATCTGTACTCGTGAGAATTAAATGATCTTGATTCTTGGCAACCCGCTCGTTTCTCTCGAATTGTCCTCCTCACGTCCTCGTCACTTGACTCCTGCAAAAACGTCAAGTTTAACATAACTGCAAAACCTTTGATACTTTTGCAGTTTTTAGTCCCATCGAATGTAAGAATAAATTTTCGATCTCATCGAAGTTGAAGAGAATATTATTGTTCGAAAAAAATGGAGATGTCTTTTTAATTTTCTTAATGTAAATTTTGCTTGGAGAAATAGAAATTACCTTGACGTAATCAACCTTCGTGTAACAAATTTATTTCTTAGTTCTTAGCCTTCGACTTGAAAGCTGCCTTATAAAAATAATTGTTGAGAAATTTAGTATATAAAACACACATCGAGAAGCGAGAAACTTTTTTTATTTTTTTTATTTTCTAAATTGCTTGTATCTGCGATGACAACGTTTACTTGGCTTTTATTCACACGACTCATTAATCTCCCTTTTAAATCGCGGCGTCGCAATGTAACACGGAAAAATGAGACAAAATCGTATACCAGCAAATATATCCATGATACTCGGAGACCGCGATACCCTGCGACGCGAGATTTCTCGTCTCGCGGTAGGAGTGGCGACAAGAGCAAACACAACGGAACCAATCGCCGAGGAAGGGTGGTCCAGCCGCTGTTTGTCTTCTCGACCCTCCTCCGCTCCGGGGATGCCGCGGAATCGCGTGGAAGAGCCTAAACGTCCCGTACATCCGCACGTCCGCGGCCAATCGAACCGGACCGTCGCCAAGCCGGAAGAAACGAGATCTCGCCGGCGATTAGATCGCTCCGGCTCTCTTTTCGCGCAGTTCCGAATTAACAATCGCCAAGAAGCCGCGCGCGCGGAAACGCCACGTGCAGGAGCCAATCTTGATCTTCCTCTCGCGATTCTCGAAAGCTTTAACGTTTCCGCTTGAAAGCTCCATTAGCTTCGTCACACAATATCATAATAATTATACCGTCGATGTAATAAATATACATTTTTATAATTGGCATTCAACTGTCGGCTTTCAATACCGGGGGTCGCCGAAAGAAAACCTGTATTCGTACATTTCGAAAGGATTTAAAAATCGTAAGACGTTCGCCGTTCGAGACTTTCCCCTCGGACGACCAGCAGAGACGTGCGCGAGTAAATAAACAAAATAATTGCTGGATCTTTCCTTGACGATTCTATAACGAGATCCGCGCGATGTGGACCGCCGAGTAAATAGAGAAAGGAAAACAATCGACTCTAATTTTGCGTGGCGTGGGACGCTACACCATGCTTCGCGGTAAGGGCAGGAGCAGGTCGGAGAACAACGAAAACAACGAGGGAACGGACGGGAAGCAGCGGAGACCGAAGTGCGCCCGTTGCCGGAATCACGGCCTCATCTCGTGGCTGCGGGGCCACAAGCGGGAGTGCCGTTACCGGGAGTGCCTGTGCCCGAAATGTTCCCTGATCGCCGAACGGCAGCGAGTGATGGCCGCTCAGGTAAGCCGCGACACGCGTGGAGCTCTCCAATTTGCAGGTCACTCGACCCCCCTTTTCGGTCTTCCGTCATCTTTCATCCGATAACTCGCGGTACCCCTTACCGCGCGTTTTCCGAATTCTTGCTTTATTGTTTGTCTTTCCTTTGTATAACTTTTACCGCGACGGTGCCGTTATTTGTATCGTTTTACGCGTTTTATCTTTGGCGCACCGTTTAATATTAGAAAGCCACGAACGACGCGATCCGAAATGTCAAATCGTACGGTCATTCGCGAATGTAAATGTCACGGATCTCACCCCCTCCATTTACGCCGTCTACTAATTTAGTACGCGCGAGCGTGTTATCGCCGCGGCTTTGAGCGGATGGATCGTGTGAGGGAAAATGTGAAAGAAAAATGTCAATTCGATGCACGCGCAGTTAAGCGTGATTAACACGCTTCCGATATTTTATTTCGCACGGTTCACCCTTCGGTATTTAAAGAGACGCCCGATCGGAGCTCGTTACCGCGATCGCCCTGCCGCCGACCCTTCAAATGAAAAGAGAATCGCGCGCTCAGAGTTTCTCTGGCCCTTTCGCAAAACGGAACAACGAATGTGCCATAAAAGTTCAAATCGGCAAGATAATTTACAGTTGAAATTCGATATTTATTCGGAGAAAGCTGATATACAAAATAAATGTAAAGAAAAAGAGATGGAAAAATTTCAAGCTCCGCTTTTAAGGGAATTCTATAGTGGTAGAGTGGCAGTTACGTTACACTGAGAAAAAAATGTTCTGGATTTAGTAAATATTAATTTGCACACAACTGTGACTCCATTTATTAAAATAAAGAAATTTTCCTTTTTATCAGTATATTTTTTTCTCAGACCTCAGATAGTTAGACAAGGACAGATATAAATATATAACATAGAAAACAGGATTAGAAAAGTTGACATTATCAACATCGAGGAAGTTCGGCCTTCGCTATATAGGATCCCCTTAACTTATAAATTTGAATTCGTAATATAACAAACGTAGGGATTTCGTGCGTCATCATTTTTATTTACCGTCGACGATTTCAATTGTCTCCTCGCGCTCTTTCGATTATATCAGGAATTTATTTCCCCCTAACATCGCGATTAAACGCGAGTGTGTAATTGTCACAGGCCGGACCCCTCGAATTCGGGCGCGATCGACATGCATGAAGCATCTCGCGGACGATTTCCTCCTTGTCCTCGTCCTCGACCGAGAGGAGAGACAGGAACAGCAGGAGGGCGAGATAAATTAAATCCATTAACGCTCGGGGTATAGCGTTTCATTTCTGTTTGCATAGGCATTATGATACTCGATACTTTGTTTGCAGCGAGACTTTCGATGCGGTAAACGCGCGGGGGCGAGAGCGGACGAGCGACGTTTAAACGCTATACGTGCGTCTACCCCTGTATCTTCGGAACGGAAATAGTCGGACAGAGCGAGAAACTCCACACGGGTGGTTGCGGTCGAACAAAACATGCGTTCGCGACCGTCCATCCGGTAATAATCGCCGGTGCACCGCGTGTAACCGCGCGCGGTTTTATCGCGGGAAACTTTCGCGCCGCGCGCGCAAACTCATCGCGGTTAATCCGCGGTGATTAACGCTACCGGAAGTAATATCACTCGGAGAAATGTTATCGGAATTATTTATATACGTGTGTACGTACACGTGTGTATAATATGCTGGAATACGGGTTACTAAATTCTACTTAAACGATCGCCGCGAGAATTAAGAAATTGACATTTGAGTTTGTGGAATAAATTCTATTTTAATTCTTTAATAAAATATCGAGTACATGTGGCATTGTCATTAATATAAATCCTAATATTACGTGCGCGCTGTTGAATTTCGAGTCGTATTTCCCTAAATAAGACTTTGTAGCGCTTATAACGCTTTTTGTAACAACCGGAGGAGAGAGGAACACATGGCGATATATTGACCCGCCCGAGTGAAATTGGATAGTTATCCCCTTTCGGACCTCGGTGATCGAACGGAGATCGACGAGAAAATGGGACGAAGAAGGCGACTGGCCTAGTAGATTCTCTCCCCGGCATCAGCGACGTGAAAGATTATTGCGGGTGGTCCAGCTTGGAATAACAGCGCGGTAAATGCGGCCCGTACATAAGCGACGGGTCCATTTATAAGTCGGGCGTATAGTCATGATCCATCACGATTCAATTGCTATATGCGCCATGTATAAGGATCTTTATGCTCGACGTATATTTTGCCATTATTAATTATAGCATGGTACCGCGAATCGATATTACAGACCGTATTTTTATACTCGTATTAGTCTCCGAGATTTTATGACTTTAAATTATTTACTTCTCCAACACCTAAAGAGAGAAATATTTTATATTGGGATATTTTCGGTTAGATTCACGCATTTTTTAAGTTTAGCCTTAGATATATATACATTATTGATTATTCACACATTAGTATTTAATATTTAATGAACTATTTTAGCATCTAGAAAGAAAGATTTTATATATTAGGATATTTCCTGTCATATTCACATATTTTTAAATTTGTATATTCTCTAATATATTATAATTTTCTTTTCTACGATTTGCATCCTTTTCTGCTTTTAAACATGCAAAATTCGCGAGATACTTTTCTTCGTTAAAATTTATAAAATTTAAGATAAGCAGGTTGAGAGAATTTAAATTTTTTCTTTGGAACTGAATAAAGACAGTTGTTTTCGGCAAGGTTGCTCTGAAAAGACAACAAGCAGCCGAAGACGCGATCGCTCTTAAAATGGCAAAGGTCGCCACCGGACAGAAACTCGATCGGCTTCCGCCGGGCAAGATCTTCGGAATGTCCGTGACGGAGCCGAAAGCGACGGTGGATCCAAACGAGGATGCGACCCCCGCTGCAAAGAAGCTCGACGGAGTTTCCGAGGATTCGAAAGATCCTCCACGTACGTCGTCGACCAACGATGCTTTACCCGCTCGTATCCAAAACGTGTGTCCTGTACGTATGAAACAAGATCATAAGAAAAAAAAAGAAACAAAATGTAAAGGAGTCAGTTCGAGTCCATTGTCAATTAAAGATCCTTCTACATCTACGTAATTCTCCTTTTGCTCTCAGGATAGTCTGGAGACCTCTTCGAGATCCAGAAGCCTCCTGTTCGACGCGGGCAAGCTGGAGAGCGCCAGAGAATCCACCCTGGTATCTCAGACCTCCGTGGAGACCCTAGCCCGCCTATTCCCGAACACCAAGCTGTCGGTCCTGCAATTGGTGCTGCAACGTTGCGGCCAGGATCTGCTCAAGGCGATCGAGTACTTTGCGAGCGACAGCTTGGGCCTCGCCGAGCCAGCGATGTCGACCAGCATCGGCCACGCGTCCTCGGCCTTCCGGCCCCCGCAGACGATCGTCGACAACAGCGCGGGGGAACAGCAGCAGCAGCAATCGATTCCCGGCGCAATGCTGGCACCAATCTACACCAGCCTGTCCAGAAACGTCTACGGGGATGCGGGTTACTGCCTGCTGAACATCGTGCCGAGCGAGCAATTCGCCAAGGGCACCGATCTGCCGATCGCGAAAACCACGGCCGATCAGGAGACCGTGGCTCTTAATTTTCGCTACAACAATTACTTCACCACCGGTGTGCAACAGCAACTGCGGGACGTGCACATGTGCGCCCAAGTGGCGGCGGATCGGTTGTCGGCCGCCAGATCGGCGGGCATCCTGCATCATCTGCCTCCCGCCGTGCTGCCGAGCATCCCCTGTGTGCAGCCCAATTGCACGCAATGCAACTACAAGTTCACTTGAATATATTTCTCTGGAGGTACAGCGAACTGTACAAATATTTATCGCGGTAGATCGCTGCAGAATAGTCTCTTAATATTAATTCTCCTAAATAAGAAAGTAATAAAATTGAAGAAAGTATATGTGCGGGTTGAAATATCTCATAATCTTCTTTATCTATATAGGAAATTTGTTTTAATTGAGAAGTATTACATTATTTACATGTCCCAGTTACATTATTACGGTTTTGTTAACTGATCGTCAGCTCATGGAAAATTGCAAAAGAAGGAGCGATGTTATTCAATTTTCCGCGCAAGAAAACATGACGGGGTAATTGAAAAGAAACGCGCAACGATTGTCGATCGCCTCTCCCGAGTGACGTTCGCTCAGGGGAGGGAAGGCGGGGCTTACAGCGAAGCTGTCGGGGAGGACGGGGTAAATCCGTCGTATTTGTCGAAGTAATAGGGCGTCGGTAATCTAGTTAGAAATATTCGATCCACCACCGTATAAACAACGCTGGCCGGTCAATCGTACCGCAGTCGAAGTCGCGCCGCAAGCGATTTACTTTGGCTTTGGTTTTAGGAGCAGAGAAAACAGACCGAATCTCCACTCCCCCCCCTCCGCGAAACCTCACCCCGTCTTTTCTCCCTCGGGAGGATCCGCGGCATCGCGTCTCGAATTACAAAGCACGCGCAAAGAAACTTAACACCGCTATCGATCGTCGAAATGTAATCCTCTTGCTCGTTTGCCTGAAAAATTGGACGAGGCAAACCCTCGTCGCGTTGGCACTTGAAAAGTTTTTTTCTCGCGCTCGTATTCCGTTCGGTCCTCGAATAAAACTCGAAGGCCAAACGGTCACGTTTTAGCTTTGAAAACGCAGTGTGAATTTAAAACTTAACACAGAATTAACTTTTCAATTGAAGAAGACGTATATAATGCATTGCAATTTTTTTGTGTTTTATTCGTGCAAGCAACAATAAAATGTAAACGCGTCTAACGTAGTGTGACAACGATTCTGTTATCACACATCACATCGCTTATCATGGATACTTTTACCCACGCACAATCAGCGTCGCAACATCAACGCCGGAAGGCCTCACGGCCCTGTATCTTCGCGTGATTCCAACCTATGGGGACATAGGACGCCACGACCAGTATATTGCCATTTCTGCAATCTGAATCGCTCTAGAACTTCAGAAACGAAGATGTGGCTTGTTCTTGATCATATGTCTGTAAAAATACAATTTATCTTGATTATTATTAAAGATACATACTGTGTGATTAACATATTATTTTAAAAAATATTTATATATATATGTATTATTCATCAAACACTGAGAATTAAAAATTGGAGTTAGAGATTAAATTAAAAAATTAATTAATCAGCGTAAGTTCAAAAATAAGATTGTTATATTAGAAAGATACGTATACACGCGCGCGCGTGCGTGATAATAAATTAAATTAATAAGATACTCACTTATCGAGATGTTCCCAAAATATCATTAACGCTGCTCTGTCCAAGTGCCTCTTTGTCCGACTCAACTCGATCACTGTGACGGCCCATCGCGCTACGTTCGTGTCCAGTCTCATCTCATCGTATTTCAAATGAAATGCGCATACTATGGAAGAACAAAATTGCTTACACATTCGAAATATAACACTAAGTCGCAAAACATAAATGAAATAACTGCGAGTTGTATTTTCTTCTTTCCATGAGATTATCATGAGAAAGCTAAAGATTGACAACATTATTTAGTGTAATCGCAATAAAATATTTGACTCAAATTCATTACGACACATTATTTTCACAAAATGAGAAAAATCTGAAAGATTGTACAAACTGTCAAAAATAATTGTAAGCGCGAAAATTGGTATTTTTATTTTATAAATATTTTTTCGTACTTTTCGAAAAGATTTCCACCGGGTTTCCATCAAACGGCCAACCCTTGAATTGCCATGCCGGTCCCATGACGAACACGGCAACGACTCTCTCCCAGTCGGCATGGGTGAGCTTTTGTGGATTATCGACTACCCGATAAGGTACGGTCAGACCGCCTTCCTTGCGTCGTTGAAGAAGCACTTCATTCTCCCGCTTGCTACCCTGCGCCCGTTTGTCCTCATTGCTGATGTACTTCAAGTCCTGGAGGATGTCCTTGGCGTTGTACATAGTGATAAGAGATGTGTTGGCGCTGGGAATGATGATAATGGGCGTTCGGCTGGGTCGCTTGTTCTGTGCGGCTTGCTGAGGCGTTAGTTTAGCCGCGGAAGTCGGCAGTAAACCGGAGGTTGGCGTAGCGGACGGATTGGTCGGGGGTTTTCTCACGGCGGGATTCGTGCCCTCGGTCACGGACTTTAACGTCATGCCGTGGTATGTGCCCATAGTGTCGATCTTGAAGCCTTCCGTTTCCTCCTTCTGCCGGATGAAACGCTCCTGATCGTAACGATTGTAGACGGCCGGTTGTGGCAGGGGCCGCATCGGTGTCGACCGCGGCGTTACCATGGGCGTAGGCACAATAGGTCCCTTCTGTCTACCCTCCTCGCGCGCTTTAATGCTTTGCAGAATTGCAAAGATGTTCTTCGCGAAGATCTTGCCGCTGCTCTGCAGGATGGTGGCGCGCGTTCGCCATTGGCGCTCGCGGGACACAATGTCCTTCGTATCGTCCACGTCCATGTCGAGGATTACGCGTAGATCCGAGCCCATGCCGATGTCGTCGTTCTCCTTGATGGTGGTGCGCTTCTTCGCCAGACGTTTCGCTTTGATCGCCGCAATCTTTTCCACTGACATTGCCTCCGAGAGCGATTTGATATTGTCGACGGTGACCGACGCCTCTTTAGGAGCATCCAAACGCGCGGCGAGTTGCTCCTTCACCTTTTGTACGTGAGTCTCCTCGAAACGGGGCTTCTTCGACGATCCGCTTTCCAAACCATCCTCGGCAGCGCGTTTCACCTGAGTCGGGATCTCCAACGGCGCCGATTTGTCTATGGCGGCTGACGTGGCGGTCTCGCCGTTGAGATAGGCCAGCAAGTCTTTTCTGTCGGGCCGACGCACCACCGGGATATTCTCCGCGGCCGCTTGTCGCACGTACACTGGATGCGTAAGCTGAACATGTTTGAGCAGGAATAAAAGACACTCGAGTGTATAGTATTCCTTAGGTGTTCCCTCTTTTCCAGATCTAAAAACGAAAACAGAAAGAATGGATAAGTATCTCTCTCGAAGAAATGTTTTATACTTTGTAGCACTTATATTATTATCAATGCTCAATCAATCTTTATCTCTATACCTCCTTAAATAAAACATATAACACATTCGCTTTCAATATAAATTGTTTCGTACAATGTAGCTTTGATTTTGAATTAAACTGAGAAAAAGCAGAAGTAAAAGAAAATAACAATCTTATAATCTAACTCCAGAATAAACATGGTCCTATAGATTTGCGAGTTAAGGGAAATGTGATATTTGAGACTTTGGCCGATATGATATACATTGAGTTTGATTTCCAGGTCACCTAATACCAGTATCAGGTTGCACAAAACAGAATCAGATACGCGATGAAGAACCAGACACTGTGGCACTGTGGTTTAAGGGTCGATCTAAAGCTCACTAGGAAAGAAAATTAAATTTTGTTTAAGGATACAAAAGAGACACCGAAAAAAGATAAAATTTCTAAAAAGCTCTGGAGTCCCTCGGGGAAAATTGGAGAACATTTTGGGGAGGAGAATCACAAGACACGTGGTGACAACACTTCTAACACGATTTCCAGCACTCTCCAGCTGTCACTCGCCCCGCGAAGGCAATTTAATTAAATTTCGAAAACACTTGTTTATCATTTTCATTCCTCGTGCCTTGCAACATGTACACATCGTATCTCCCTCTCTCTTCCTTCTCTCTCGCCCGGCTCTCCTGCTCTCGCTTTAAACATGGCAGTCGAGCAGATTGCGACCGCGCGGAGCGGTACCGAGACGCTGTTCCCGACGTGCGCTCACCCGTAAGTCAGATAATTGGTCTTGACGTTCTTCGGCCAGGAGAACTCGCCAAATATGATCTGGTTTTCGCGTTCGATTATCTCCTTCTTGTTGACGTTGTACTGTCGCAGCAGACTCAACGGGTCCGCCATGATCGCGAAACACTACAGCAAAAGTATATACTGTGGCGCAAAAGCAAACTAATCAGAGTACTCCCCCTCTCTCTCACTGTTTCTCTCTTCTCCGACTTCGACCGGATACGCAAACGACCGCCTCAGGGACCGATCGTAAAGGCGCGCGCGCGCACGACGACGGAGCCGTCGCTGGCCATCGCCACGTGCGTTTGGGGACGCCGCCTTCGGTCACACTTCTCGGGTCATATGACCGACGTTACGCCGAGCATCAGACGTGCTGTCGTAGGCGTTGACTCGACGACTCCTCCAACACCGCGTCTCGTGATCCCGAGCCCTTGCGAGCCCTCCGATTGTCTTCAGGAAAGGGAACGGACCGAACGGCACCATGGCTCTCAGCGACGCGGACGTGCAGAAGCAGGTGAGCGAGGGAAAAGGGCATCCTTGCGAAACGGTCCTCCTGCCCTAGGCTCGCCTCCACCGAGCAACTCTCGCGCTATTAATATCTTTTACGATTATTTATCGTCGCGCTGGAACGTTTACCAGCTTCGCCCGAGCACCCTCCTCGAGGAAGGGGGTTGCGCGCCGCGCGAATATCTCGGGTTTCGTTCTCGTAGCTGCTCGAAATCTGTACCCTTGTACCAGCAGCCAAACGGAGCGAGAGACGTCCGCGTACGTCCAAATGTTGGGTAAAATCGAATAAATTAATGGTCAGTTGCGAAACTTGGAAATCGGGAAGAATTCTTTAATCGTTCATCTATGTATATGTCGTAATGTCAATGGGATATTTAAACATTTAAAACTGAAAGAGATAGTTGAGGCTCCTGGCTAAGACATGACTTGGAGAACACATAGTTTTATGTAATTTATTATGCATTCTTTAGAGGGAAAGGGATATATTGTTTAAAGGTAGATTTAAGTAGTTGATTGTTAAATTTTGTCGTTATAAGAGGCTTTTCTGAGAAAAGAAATGGTACAATTATAGATCAAGCATATGATGGCCTTCATAGAACAAGAGGCCAATGAAAAGGCCGAGGAGATAGATGCCAAGGCGGAAGAAGAATTTAATATTGAGAAGGGACGTCTGGTGCAGCAACAGCGTCTCAAGATCATGGAGTATTATGAGAAAAAGGAAAAGCAAGTTGAACTGCAAAAGAAGATGTATGTATGAAAAATTATTATTATTATTTTTTAATCATATACTTATAATATGTAGACTGTTAAATATTATGATAATCTTATAATTTCAAGATTTAATTTCTCAATTTTTAAAAATTTAATAAAAAGGTCTAATAGTCTAATACATGGTCGCATTTATAATTTTATTACTGTAGACAATCCTCAAACATGCTCAACCAAGCACGATTGAAGGCTCTAAAAGTACGTGAAGATCACGTACGCAACGTTCTTGACGACGCTAGAAAGAGATTAGGCGAAGTAACTCAGAACTCCACGCGATATAGAGAAATTCTTCAGCTGTTGATCATCCAAGGGCTTTATCAAGTAATATCTCTATAACTTTAATTACTTTATTATTATTGTATGTTACGTGGTTCATCACTTTCTGACCCTATAAATGTTTCTATATGATTTATATTTTTTTTACAGCTAACAGAGGCAAACATTACTCTTCGTGTTCGTCAAGTCGACGTACCTCTCGTAGAATCCCTCATTGACGGTATTCAGCAACAATATAAGCAGAAAACTAAGAAGGATATTATCTTGAAGATCGATACCGATAATTTCTTACCTCCCGAAAGCTGCGGAGGTGTGGAATTATTAGCAGCCAGAGGTAATTATATCGTCGAAATCTTCTTTACTGGGACAATCATGAAATTATTAATCGCTGCCTAGCAAAAATAATGAAAAGTATTTATAATATATCACATAAATTTGTAGTGATCCGAATTACAACTTAGTTTGATTTTAGCGAAATAATTAATGTGTTTTACATTATATTAATTGCTTAATTAATATTGTATACAAAATAATTTTTGTTTCACAGGGCGCATAAAGATTAGCAATACTTTGGAGACCAGATTAGAGCTGATAGCGCAACAATTGGTACCAGAGATCCGTTCCGCACTGTTCGGACGCAATACAAATCGTAAATTTAACGATTAAGCTAATTTCCTCGACAATTGATTGACTCTCCAAAACATTCCTTTTAACAGCAAATTACTACCGCATTATCATGTATTATATAGAATAAAATTAGCATACGACACGCCTTTTGTCGAGCCTAATATTTTCAATGAAAGTATCTGATGAATTGCCGTGCAATATTTATCGTTGAAAGAGTCGCAAGCAAATATGTACATTATTCTTCACGAATGTCGTTTTATTCTGTTGTCTTTTGTTCTATCCTCTATCCTTCTGACAGGTGATAAAATCATGAACATAAAGTGTATAGTGATCAAATAACTTCATATACTATTATACTAATATATTTGATGTCAACTTAAAATTGCCGTTAAAATTGGTGTTCATAAACGAGACAAAGTGTACTTTCTCAGGTTAGGAATGTTAACGCGGATGAAATGTATAATTAATAATTATTGTTCTTGACTGCTTATGTTGAAAAGAATAGCCATTGCAATTGAATGTAGTACAGTCAATATATTGTGCAGAATCGTAATAAACAGAAATATTGAAGTGGGCTTTATATGTATATAATACATTTATATACCTATAGAGCATATCAGTATGTTATGTACATTATGTATAATATAATTATGTATTACAATATATATAAATATATGATTCGTTGTTGTAAAAATACCTTTTTGAGAAATTAAGTTCTAATACCATAATATATAACGTTGTATCGATAAATGTATTTTAAGGCACGCAACACGTATTGCTTGATTTAAACACGTTCTTGTAAGACTAATATATAACTATCAGTAACAAATACCACATTCCTTATTATACATAGAAACGAAGTTGCAGCATGAATAAAATGTTTTAAACTCTGTTTAAATCCATTGTTGATAATTCTATCATAAATATAGTTTGATTTCGAAAGCCGACTTATATTCCTTATATTTATATATCTTTCAGATTAAATACTTTTACAAACGATTTATTTTTATGTAAATAACCTACTTATTAATTATTATTAACGATAACGATTTTTCAAAAATATTTAATCAGCAAGTTCGCTTATATATTTAACGAAAAATAAGATTTGATAGCCATGTACAGTTAATTAAAGATGTAATATAAAACATGCAAAATAAAGTAAATAATAGTAATAATATATTTATAATACACAATAGTGAACACAATGTGTAAAAATGTATTCAAAAAATTCAGGCTATCTTTATATTACATATTACGTAGAGATATGAAGATCGACGCAAGCTTCTCCTTCGAGATCCAAAGATTCTGGAGTATCAGTCGGACTAATCTGTTCTCCATCAAAGTAAAATTTCAGGTCTTCCTCCTTTACATTAAGTTGCTCGGCGCAATTAGCGAACAGCCTCTTAAATTGTTCATCTTTTTTAAGTGGAATAGTCAAGGATTGCTTTTTGTTTGCCGTTTGTACTTTAATGGTGCATATGTCCTCATCGTTGCTCTCATCCTGGGTCAACGTGTTCATACCTGGATGCACTATCCCACCATCTACAAGTATAAAGTAAGCATTGCATTATTGTATCGTAAAATCACCGACTCATTTATACTAACCAAGTATATCTATAATGGAAAGTTTGAGCGATGCAGGGGTGTCGGTGGGATTGATAATTTGATCCTTCTTCATGATTAGGACTTCATTCACGGAAACTTTTTCTAAGTCAGCGTAATATTCGAAAATTCCTTTGAAACTGTCATGCTATAATAAGAAAATTATTAGAGAATTATCTTTACGAAAATAATTATACGAAACTGTGACTTGCCACATTACTAGCTAACCACTGATACATACTCTACGCATACTTAAACGATCGATTCTATTTGATCTCCAATATACTTTTATATTCATCTCATAGTTGTCATCTTCCTTATCATCATCTGACAGAGCGATTATATTATCTTTACAAGATTCAACAGTTAATTTAGGTATTTCTTCCCTCGCGAATTCCACACCGCGCTCTAGACCAATAGGCAAACGCTGAAACATTGGCATAAAAACTATATACTGCCCTCTTGAATTAAACATCGACATATTTTACATATAACATAAGTGATATTTATCTCGAAAAGAATATGAGCTACGTTTTAGAAGCTCCAGCAAAATATCAAAACTCGATATCTGCTTTCAAGATAAATGATAACATCCATGTATATGTATATAAAAAAAAAATTACCCTTCCCCTTCCCCTTCCCCTAGTTCGTCTACCTCTAGTAGTGATTCCATTATTCCTTCTAATATTCCGTCTTACCGTCCTACTTCGTGTTTGTATACCATCAACATTCATTTCTTCCGCATTCATGTCCTCTGCATACATGTCTTCTGCATTTATTCCTTTACCATTTAATTCTTCACCTTTTATTCCTTTTCCATTTATTTCTTTACCATTTAAATGTTCACCATTTACTTCTTTATCATTTGTTTGCTGTTCAATGCTGAAAGTAAAACAAATAATTGTAGATATTATTCATGTAATATTAAAATTGTAATATTGTATAATTAACACAATATATTTTAAATCATTATCTGAGTAAGACATACTTTGTAGGAGAAAGTTTCTCTCTTTCGAAACGTTGTTTCTTCAATGCTAAAAACACAAAACACCATATTTAATTGTAAAAACAAATTGTATATCCAACCAAGTATCGAAATACATTGCAGCTGCTTCTATTTCTGTATTTCCATGTACTCAGTTTTCATAATTAAGTCACAATTGTCAAAAATAGTGAAAGTGTTACCTCTTAAGCGAGCAACAGAATTTGTATATGGATCATCTTCATCCGAAGAGCTATCCAGTGCCATACTATCCAGTACCATTTGACTCATTATGAATATCTGTACGATATAATACGCAGTTTCCTAAAATACATAATATAATCTATTACAAATACAACTTGTCATTATCATGCAAGGCAATAAAACGTTCATTTTCGCCCTAATCCTAAAATAACGTTGCATTATTCAAGTATAACCTTGAAATCAAACGTAAACAATAATCAGCTGCATGCAAAATGACAAGCAACAAACTTTAAAACTCGCAAAATGTCAATTTTAATGTTTGTTCATTATTTGGCAGTCATAATATTAAAATAATTGTTTCAACTTAACGCAAACTCAACACTTACTTTACAATTTATCGAATTCTCGCACGAGTTAACTCCTATGGGTTCACGTGCAACGTGCGTAGTATCAGTAGTATAAACAGCACAGAGATCCTACAAAACCTAAGACGTTAACCTAACTTAAACTGGTTAACTTTAAAATGAGGGGTCAGAGGTTTGATGTCAAAAAACTTGAAGCAACCAGGACCTGATAGGACCAAGCCTATTTAGCCCATCCCAAATGCAATAAAAAAAAAAGCGGATTCATTTTGCAGAAGCAACAAAAGTTGGAACATGTATGTTTTGATATCCTCGAAGAATCGTCAAATCAAAGGTTCTAATTGATTCTAATTGTAAGAGAATATAACCTACGATGTATTTTTGCATGGTATGTGAGTTAAAAAAAAATCAATTAATTAATTTGCCCATTATATTCTTCTGACAATTTGTCAATTTTTTTAAAATTCAAATTTTGGCGGGTATGACAGGTCGCTGATAAATTATTGATAATAACGAAATCTTGATTATCGGTGTCGCGAATTTACCGATTGTCGCGCGATATTTCGCGCAAATATAAAAATTTGAATTTCCGAAAACTAACGTATCGGGAGAATATAATCGAGTAAAGAGGTAACACACTGATTGATATTTTAAGAAATATGATTTTCAGAAGTTATCGTTTGTGTCAGAATGTTTAAACCGTGAAAATTTTAACTTCCAGAAGTTTCAGAAAATCATGTTTGATCGACACCGAAGTGCACGTGTGAAGAAATGGCGGATTACGAGAAATGTGAAGATTGTTCGTTCGATGATGGGGAAGATAGGCAAAAGGGCGTTTGTCTGATAAAAGAGGAGTACGTAGATTGTATCGGATGACTTACTTTGATCTTGTAGCAAATGAATTTTATACGGATGTAATTGCAAAGGAGCTTATTCACTTCCTAACCTCTAAAGATTGCTCACATGTTTTTCACAATTTATCAAACATCTATTTTAATCCCTTAATTGGCTGTTTGAATCTTTATTTATACTAATGAACGTAATTACTTGTATCAGAGGACCTAACTTTTTACAACTTTTATTTTTAAATTGCTTTGTTAATTAATATTTTATTATTATATAATAAATAATATAGAAGTCTTTGTATTAAATATATGACTTAAATATTTGTAAAGATTTTATGTAAAAATTATTTAAAACGTCAATAAATTTTTTCACACAAGTATTAATACGTTATCTTATAACTAACATGTACATTTAACATTGTAGATTTATTATCGAGGACCATGTGAGGCAGTTGAGTGAACAGTGCTTAACGGAGACCGATAAGCAGAAGGTATCTGCGGATGCAGGTACAGAAGATACAGATGCATCATCGTGGGACGAGGTACCTGTTAAAAAACCTAAATTAGATGACAAGAGAGAGAAGCTCAGAGGTCAAAATAAGGCGAGGCCACCTCCGTTCAAAGCTCCCAGGGAATTGAGTCTGTGCCCATGGATCGCGGATCAAACGGCAAATGAACCTGAGAGGAAATGCTCGAATGAGCGATGCACTTTCCTGCACGATCGAAAGGAATATCTGAAGATTAGGCCGGAAGACATAAGCACGGAATGCCATACTTTCAATTTGACCGGCAAGTGCCCGAGGGGAATTACTTGTAGAATGGGCTCGCGACACTTGACCGAGGATGGTTTCAACATCATCGATGAGAAGAGACTCGAGGAATACAGCAAGTGTTCGCCAACCATAAAAAATCACTTATCTAAAGATGTACAAAGTAAATTGCGTAAGCGAAAATACAATTTTTCCAAGGCGGAGGCAATCGTCAAAGCCAACGGTCCGTCTAGGAAAAAGACGCAACCGCAGAGTTCGAATAGTAAAATGAGGAACGAGAATGATACAAAATTAGACAAGACTAATATTTCCGACAACAGCAACGGCGAGAAGGTGGAGAAAAATATTTCCGTCGGCATGAATGACGAAAAAATGGAAACGGATAGTTCTGATTGCCATGTCTCAGATGAGTCGAAGGAATTGAAGATCGGACCCGTGGACGACAGCGATTTGATCAGATTGCGACAGTCGGAGAAGAAGACGATCGACTGGAGCGACAAGATACTGCTCAGTCCTTTGACTACGGTGGGCAATCTACCGTTTCGAAGGATCTGCAAGGAGTACGGCGCGGACATCACCTGTGGCGAGATGGCATTGGCGCCGAAGATACTGAAGGGCACGCAGGAGGAATGGGCATTGGTGAAACGGCACGAGAGCGAGGATATCTTCGGCGTGCAGCTCTGCGGCAATAATCCGGGGGTGTTGACGCGGTGCGCTCAGCTGCTGAACCGCGAGATCGACGTGGACTACATCGATTTGAATCTCGGGTGTCCAATCGATCTGATTTACAGACAGGGCGGCGGCAGCGGTATGCTCAATCGATTGAACGTACTCGAGACCGTGGTAAAGTCTGTTAGCCAAGTGTTGGACATACCCTTGTCCGTTAAGACCAGAACTGGGGTCTACATAGACAAACCGATCGCGCATAATCTAATGCCGAAGTTTCGAGACTGGGGTGTGTCCATGATTACCGTGAGTAAGTCCGTTGAATTTACGTTTCTTGTCGCGAATCGATCTCTTTCGAAAGGATCGCGGTATTTTCGAAGAATAGAATTTTTCAAGACAGGACGGAATCTTCAAAATATCTTGATAGCTTTAAGAATTCAATTTTGTATATGCCACAGCTTTAAACTTGAACAGAAAATTGACGTTTTATATCAGAAAAAATGTTTTTAAAAAGAGATTATTATCCCTGGGCAACGTAAAAGGATATTAAAGAAATATGATCTTCTTGTATTATCTTCCTCGACTCTTATTCGATTCGGTAATTCTTTCAGGTTCACGGCAGGTCGCGTGAGCAAAGATACACGAAACTGGCCGACTGGGAGTATATAGAAAAGTGCGCGGTAGCGGCACAGCCGGTACCCGTGTTTGGAAACGGCGATATCCTGTCCTTCGATGACTATCGTCGTGCAAAAGAGACCTACAGCACAGTGCAGGGGATCACCATCGGACGCGGTGCGCTAATCAAGCCGTGGATCTTTACCGAGATAAAGGAAAAAAAGTTGATCGACATATCGAGCTCGGAGAGATTCGGCATTCTTAGAAAGTACGCAAATTACGGGCTGGAGCATTGGGGATCCGACACCCGCGGCGTCGAAACCACCAGGAGATTCATGCTGGAGTGGATCTCTTTTCTTCACAGGCAAGTTTGCTTCGAAAAAAATATGTTTCCTTCGATTAAAGCATAACATTATTCATCAATATGCATTTACATTGAGATTACATCGCAGGTATATTCCTGTTGGAATTTTGGAGAGACCACCGCAGCGGATCAACGAGAGACCACCGTTCTACCGAGGCCGCGATGATATGGAGACGCTAATGGCCAGTTCCAACTGTGCCGATTGGGTGAAATTATCGTAAGGCCATTAGTTTTTATTGCGTAACGTCATCAGTTTCGGCTACATCTGTGATACTAACAATTTTGTTTATTTTTAGCGAGATGTTACTCGGAAAAGTGCCTGATGGATTCCATTTCTTGCCAAAGCACAAGGCGAACTCGTGGAAATAATCTACTGCGGGAAAAACAATTTTATAGAAAAATATTTCTCGAGGTGACTAATTTTACATTGTTGATTTTTCGCAATAAACGTAAAAGAGAAGGATTAATCATGGTAAGATATGATGTTAACGACATTTGTTGTTTCTCCCATTTGCGTTTATATAATACAATAAATAAATATTTTATCAAAGATCTTATTTATCGCGAACATACGTATACGAAGTTTCGCAATATGTCTGCGCTATATAATGAAACTTTAACTTTGCTAACATACAACTTTACTATTAAATCAATAATGTTGGCTTATCTCGCCAAGATTAGTAACCGGCCACATGCAGTCACAACCGCTGGGGATTTCTATTGTATATGGTTCCCAACATTCATTTTCCCAACTTCGTTTAACGAAAGTCAAAATTCGACTTCTCTGCACGCAGTGGAATGCCGGATGAGCGCATTTCTGAAAGGAAAAAAATGTTAAATCTGAAATTGAAACTTTGTTAAATAAAAAACAACTTCCTCATTCCTTATTGAACTTAAAAAGAGGCGGTAATCCGATGGATTCATTATTTCTTAAAACTTGATTATATATTTATTTTCTAATCAATAAAAAGCGCCGCTTTGAATCCATTTCATTGAATCTGTTAATCTATTTCACTGCGTGACATATAAATTATTACTTGTTGCAATTGTTTCACTATTCGTTCATCTTCGCTCAACAATGAATAGCCCTTACAGTAGACCTCATGATAATACGGGGGTTGATATTCGTATTCAGAATCAATAAGGTCCACTCTTTTCGTTACTGTTTCGCATAGATTGCGATATTCCTGCATAAATCGTAAAAAAAGAAATACAGACATTTATCTCAATATACAAATAGTATAAATAATATAAATAGAATTTAAATCAGAAATAAACGTACAGAAAATAGATGAATTAAAAAGAATTGACAGGGATTTATTAAGATTTATCACATCCAATTTAATTCCTAATTTTTTCATAAAATTTATTTTAAATATATTTTTTATCCCTTAATGAAGAGAACGATCTTTTTCAGGAATAAAAAATAATTTACTAACGGGCATCAAATTTCTGTTATCTCTGTTTAGCTGCTGCAATTCCCTTATTGCATTTTCGGCATCATAATATTCCTTCGGCAGATGAGAGACGTCTCTCGCCACCGGTATGTCACGTAAATAGTCCTGGTAATTGAGCTCAGGATTAAAGCTCTTCTTAATTATCGTGAAATTCAGTTGTCTACTCAACACGTAGGACACGTGGTTGAGGATAAACAATTCGGCGATCTGCAAACGAAATATACATCTTACTTAATAAATTAAGCAAAAAAGTAATGAAGAGAGCTCCAAATTTCTTTACTGTGATATCGTTGAACAAGCGCGTTGCAAGTAAAATTCTAATCCAATCTTATGTAAAGAATAATCATTATCGGTCTTGAAAAACTTTACAGAGTGATACACCGGATTATCTCCAATTTTGATCAAACTGAAGTCGATTAGATAGAAGAATCCCAAGAATCTCCCAATTGGTATTACAAGTCATCCACGCATGCACGTCTACGTCGGATTATTCCTTTACCAATGACACAGAATCATCAATGCCTCTTAAGTATAATGTTGCGTCACTGATAAAGCCTAAACCTTCGATGGAGGTCTCAGTCAGCAGCCTTTAGCGACCCATCAAACCTGATGATGCGTAAATCGCGCGCGCAGAGGGTCGACGCCGCAAGTGGGAATTGGAGGTAGGATGAATCATTCGTTTAGAGTACTGCAACTGGCGAAATGGTTTCACGTCGTCTGTCACGTCGACGAAATACGATATGCGCATTTCTAATTTCCCTCGTCTGCGAATCCTCGATTCCCAATCTTGATTTTTATCCTCGGAGCCGTTGCTCCAAGTATTGCTTTTTATTACGTCGCGGAAGGTAATCGTCCAAAGGACGTTTTTTTGTCAAATTTTCAATATTTTACAGCTACAAAATGTTTCGATGACAAATTTGAAATTTATTTATATAAACTTGTAGAAAACCATTAGAAAGAAGATTTTGTTGTTTAGAATAGGATTAACTTGTTTATCAAGCAAAAGAGATCTAAATCGCTTTCTGCGTGAATTTTTTACAAATATGATTTTTATAAAGTTTATGAATAATCATAAATCTATATATGAATAATCATAGATTTTTTTTTAATCGACAAGATATTTATATGAGAATGAAGAAAGAAGTGATTTGTATGATAGAGATGGCATATTAATGAAAACCTTCGATTTTATCTGTAGGTTTTCGCGCGAAGATCGGTATTAGTTGATTCGCAAGGTCGGCGTGATTGAGCTGACGTGCCGTATGATATGGATTATTCTTCCCGCGTCATCGAGTTAATTCATGCTACCGAAGTGACGACAGAGAATATACGCACGAGATAATGCGCTCTTCCAGCTCCGTGGTATTTGCTTCGATTCCAAGTAACGTCAGAAGTAATAAATGCTGATAAATACAACAGTAAGTAATCGGATGATAAATCGACAATCAATTTCTTTGAAAATAAGAAGTAGAAAAGGATAATTGACGGGGCCTTCAAATCAAGTTTAAATCAGTAATCTTTTCTGTACGTCAGACAGTCTTCCTCGTTCTTTGTGTGCGAGAGCAGAACTGGAACGAAAAATGAAATAAAAAAAAGAAAGGTAGCAAGGAGCAAGGGAACGCGATGTGTTATATCTCAAAAGAAACGGATACCCATGAGAGAAGAAGAAGAAGGAGAAGAAGGAGATAAAGTGATCCAGAAGAAGTGGGAGAACATGATGGACTACGTGTTGGCTTTCAGCATCAACGATACGCTGCATTACATACACGCGACAACACTGTACCAATGTGGGGTAGGTAGTTATCCAATTGACAGTGCCCCGTCTGACATAGTTCAGTCACGAGGCGGGCACAGGATGATCCTACGTCTCCTCCGTTGACAGAGCGACAGTCGTTCCCTCGAAATTGCGCTCGCCACGCGACGTTTCGCTCGCTCTTTTCCCGAAATCGCGTCGACGTCGTCTCTGACGAAGTTTTCGCATTACGGTAAATAGACGAGTAATTGACGTATAGGTATATATAAGGGCCGTTACATGTCGACAGATCGTGATATTGTGATACGGAAATAATGTCAATACGACGAGCGTGTTTGGACCGAAATGACTGGTGTTTCACTTGCGATGAGGATGAGCCCGGTCAAGGTTGACGATTGTCAGTGAGCTACCGACAATTCCGAGGAATTTTCGCCGAATAAACGTGATCATCGATTTTTGACGACGAGAAGCGATCGACGAGATCCCAACTCGCCTATTCTTTGGAATATCTACGAAGATCGGAATGCCATTGGGCTGACACCGGTACCATGGCAGCCGATCTCTACGCAAATGGCTCTCTAAAGTCAACGTCCGCCAGGTGAGACCAGTCAAGATTTGTTTACGTGCGTGATTAACTTGCATCTTATCGATCAAGTATCTTGAACCAAATTTCTTCAAATGATAATGAAAATGACTATTAAAAATGAATAGGCTTTAAATTTTTCTTAGGGATATTGAAACGGCGAGAATCGAATGCACCTAACGATAAATCAATAACTTTTGAATCTTACTTTGGACATTAGAAATGGAAATAGCTAAACTATGGTTGGTAGCGTATTAGCAGATATTGGTTCAAGGATAGAATTTACAGGCGAAGTTAGTGAAATCGTTCGTAACAAACGATGATTCGTATTCTCAGCATAAATGTGGCCATCTCTCTCTCCACTTTTGAGTTTTATTTGCCTATCAAGGTGGCATTCAAATGTCAACGTGACATGAAAATCAGATAGCCACGGCCACGCAGAATAGGACCGCATCCGATTCTAAGCTTTATTTGCCTAATATGACGAGTAATGTTACGCAAAAATCAAATTTTTTATCAAATATAAGATACAAATACTTATCGTGGTATATAAATAAATCAAAATAATAGAAAGAAAAAGAAATAAGTAGAACGTAATAAAATTTAAAAGCGTTTCTCTCTCTCTCTCTTATTTTAATAGAAAAATTTAATTTCTATTAATTTTATATTAAAATCAATCTATTTGATACTGCTACTAAAACTGATAAAACGGGAGAATAAATCATTTAAGGATAAATATGTTTCTGCAAGAAGGATAATTTTAAAAGAGAAACGGTAGATAAAATGTGTAATTCGTGTATTCTTTGGTAACCATGATTCTGCAATGTACGTGTAATTTTTAGTAATGTATACGATGACGTATCTGATGATACGCCGAATGCAGCTGTACAGCATCGAGTAACTGCTGATGCGGCGTTGTTTAGATAATTTCCAAGCGTGTTTGATCTAATTTCATAAACCGACGTAAATGTGACCGCTAAATTGCCTCATTTCCGGACATTTAAGGCGACTGCAAAAGGGACGCATGGTCAGTGACGAAGTGCGATGTTTGCAAGGCACTTTCCAGAGTACCCAAAGGAAGCGTGAAACGTTTTGTTATTCTTCTGTTTCGTGTTCTCACTCCCGATTAAATTGTAAAAGAAATTTGCTCATAACGACCGCAGAATCAATGGATCGGATGGAATATCGGAACAATGGAAGGAATATATTTGTTTCCGGATGAACGCGACCATTTTCATTTTTTGCAAACCATTTCAATGACAATGAAATCGTTTAATAGCCGCTACAGTTCTTTGAGTTAATGAGCAATTGACCCTCGGCTTGCGGGCCGAGTAAAGGTTCCATTGATGAAGAGCGTTATTAAGTGGACTCAAACGAGAGCGGAACTCGAAATCTCGACTCTTCGAAAATCCCAGCGCAATCATTCTTAATTATTACATCGCAAGACTGTCCAATTAATCGTGTTTCCTTACGTCTTAAAATGGAGCAAGTATATCGTCGGTCTTAAGGAAAAAAATCATTAAATATTCTTCATAAATAGAAATAATCAATTCAGAGCGAATAAACATCACATAAATGTGAGATGCAACTTCCTTAGAAGTGTTGACCAAACTGTTAATTCAGTTTCCCTAATTAGTAGTAGATACTAATTAACAAATATTAATTCAATAAACATTAATTGCAGGGTAAAAGGCATAGGTAAATCAGTGTCAGGCAAATAGAAATGTGCAACTAAGCAGAATAAATCTCGTATCGCACACTTACACGCACACATACAAGAGAACAGCACACAGTGAAGTTGAAGGAACTCAAATTAAAGATCGGTATTGAGGAATATAAATCCTTCCAAGAAAAACACGGTCATTTACCGTCCAATCAATTCTGCTCGAACATGTGACCGATTGTAATCGCCATATATTAAAGCCCCCAACACATCTCAATGTAAATAGCAAGTATATTGAATTATGACGTCAGAAATGAAAGATTGTAATTTATTGTTGTAATATATATCAAAATAAATTCTTTAGCTGAGTGAGAGAACCGTTAAGAATTTAAAAAAGATGTAAAAATTCGTATCCTCTCAAGATTTTTAAGACTCGCATTCGATTTTACATGTCATATTGGGGAATTGTCGTCAAGGCCACGATGATCCATATTATAGTAGCAAATTGAAACGCAACGATACTACAATAGTCACAATTCCGCCTAGCGACGGCGATCGGGTAGGCACATTTGTTTGTTCAATTGCAACTGCGGTGACTAAGATCGATGAAAAGTCAATTCAATAAATCTACATGTCGCTAGAAATATCGCAGCAGCGACTATCTATTAATTCATGCGAATCGGCATGTGACTCTACGTAGAATGTCGCAGAATGCAGTAAAAGCACGTCGAAAACTGTTATCGTCGAATAGATAGAGAATAATTGGTTTCTCGGCGTGGCGAGCAAACGTGGTCATTTACCTCGAAGATTTTGTCATTGGCCACAGTGCTTGGGGTCTAGAAAATATTCGGAGTCTGCGAAAGAAGAAACGATGAAAAATAAAGACGAGAAACAATAGAAATCTCTGTATATGGAATAAAAGATAGAAGATTATAAAGCAGAGAAATAATAGACCTCTCAAGCTTCAAATTTGAAACTGTATAGAGAAGGTAATTTTATATTAATCATTGTAATTATTCAAAATAGAATAAAATATATTAATTTTGTTTCTCATTTGGATTCAAGACATGAAAATGGAACATTATCATAGAGGAATTTATCGAGATCTTGAGGAAAATACTAAATGCACAGATAAATAAAATAAATGAGCAGAGTACTCGCGTTCGCGTGACACGATATGAGGCGGAGGAAATGATGGAATGATGAAAATTTGAAAAGTGTATCGTGGCGGCGCGTAAACTGAACGTAGGCAGCAGATGACACACGTCTGCTGGTCCGAATTAAATTAAAATCGTAATTTCTAGCCCGGCGGCGAGTTAAACTTTTAACCCAAATATTAGAAGAACCCCGTTATCCGAGGAACAATGAATGAGGCATGGAACGATGGGTAGTTATCTATCTTTTTGACAGAATTGTTTGAACAAATTTAGAACCTCTATTCTAGAAAGTATTTCTATTAAACCCCGTAAACTGTCAAAAAATCCGGGAGAAAATTGTGAGACGAAACAAAAATCAAATGAAATGTTAAAGTAGGTAATTAATAATGGAGAAGATAAAAAACATTCTGTCAGCTATTTGAGGATTCTTTGAAGACGAGATATTTATTTTGACTTAGCTCTTTAAATAAAACGAGGCTATACGTGAAAAGAAGCGTTAATGACTACGTGCTAAAATAAGGTATCGCGATCCGCTTGGGGTGGTGACTCTACAACGTCATACGCGTCATTTTCGCGCGGGCCTCTCATGTTTGAAGAGATAATTAGACCATTACTTTGGAATAAGACCGTTATAGACCTGTTAATCGTAATCAGGTGATGCCTGAAGCTGACAGGAAAGATTTCTTGTTGATAGGGTACAACCGGTGGGTGATGTCACGCGTTGCGTTAAAATTGGATCGAATAATTTCGAAAACTGCGCAGATTCGCAAGCGTAAGACTGCGTTCTTTCTGACGTGTACGATCAACTGCTACGACTTTCGAGGATCGTGTCTCAAGCTTATCATTGAGACAGTATCTTTTTCCGCGAAACCTCAAGTATAATTCAAAATCAAATCCCCGATTGATAGATTAACGATAAAGAATTAAATTTACCGGTGATAACTCTTGCGCGCCGAAAATAAGGCTCGCGTCTCAAATTTCTGCAATCATTAATTCGAATTCGTTCTCACGATTTACACAGGTCTTCTCACGCGCCAACCGGGAGCAGGATAAGAATTGTCAAAAGGAAGCAGGATCATTTTAACGCGCCTGCAACAAAGCGTGAACGCCATCGGATTATTTTTAGCCAGCGGAATAGGGTCTACCCCCTTTGCCGTGGCTAAAAATAGCTGGTAAGGCCAATCCAGGCCCAATTATCCCATCTAGATATTTAGGTGACAATCGACTGACCGCCAATTTAGAAATATTCCACTGGGCTCGACGCCCAGGGCCTTCAGCTCGAAGTGCGAATAATCCCGCGTCACGCGCGCATTAAAGTTCAGGCCCCTTTTAAAAGACACCCTTTCGTCGGTCTCTGCCGACCAACGAGATTATCGGAAAAATGGTTGGTCGAACATCATGTACAAATAGCACGAGATAGATACACGACAACAGCAACCCTATAATTATTTAATTTTATTAAACTTAAAGTTGGAAGGTTGAAAGACGAGATGAGCAATGTCGAGGGTGTCGCATGCGATCTCAAGACACAATTTCCGAAAATCGTTAACTGTCAATCCACAACTTTTCAGTCGCAAAGAATTGACGAGATTAAAGAAGAAGAAGGCCGTTAGCGTCAAAAGATTTACAACAAGATGTCGAAATAACATATTTGTTTGTAAAGAGCGATCGACAACTTTCTAAACGCATGTAATATGTAATAATGTCTTAGGATGTGACATTTGTGTAGTTGTTCGTCCCCTTCGGTACGCAACCCGCCTAACACGTGTGCATATTCGTTTGCAGGGCTGTAGGCAGCATGGGACAGCGTAAATCAGGCGCCCCGGGCGCCTTGGGCGCCGCGGCGCCCATATCGACGGAGGAGGAGCAGCTGAAGTTCCAAGACAGCAGATTTCTGGCGACTTTGGTGCTCGGCAGAAGTAGGTGAGTGACCGAGCGTGACTGGCTGCCTGGCCGTCCGTCCGTCCGTCCTACTACGTCGCTACGTCAGAGATCGAGGCACGTGATCGGTCCTACGCGACCCACATCGAAACCCCGAGGATTCGATCGCCGCGCAGGGAGTGTTGCGAAGCCGGGAGTGTGTTGCAAATCTCGTCCGATCGATCGCGACGGGAAGTAATTAAGTGGCCCGAGCGCCCGCGAGTGATCCGTTTCCGCGATCTCTGCCGTGTTAACAGAGACCGTAAATATCTTTGGCGAACCGCCCGACCGAAGTGAGTAAACGACTGTTTATTTGTAAACACTGTGATGTTTGCAGAGATTTGAATCAGGGAAATGTCTCGCTCGGACGATTCAACTGCGGCGCGCAAACAGTTGAAGCTACCGTGTCTTTGCCTATCTATTATAATTCGGAGTCTAGTTGCACGAGATTTTAAATCCTTGTCTTAGCGTCGAGAGTATATCGTTCAAAATCAAGGATAGATAGATAGAGAGAGAGAGAGAGAAAGAGAGATATTACCCGTAGCTACCGAGACTTACTATCAGGATATTCATTTCTCTGAACATGATCGCAGATCCGGCCCGGGATTCCCGAAGGTGGCGGTTTTTTAAAAGGATGCCGCAGATAGGGGATGCACAAATCACTGAATCGGAACGCTTAGCGGATGCTCAGTTTTATATATATAATATATGTCTGCGGGGGAGGAAGAGCACACCTGTCGCTTTCGCACGTGGAGAAGGTCATCGTGCAAATCCCCGTGCAAATAAAACGCGGCGATAATAATATTCGTGGGCGTCGCGTTTAAATTAACTTTCTCATCGTCCGCCACGGCCATTCATTAATTGCGGGGATTGCGAAAAGAGCGAGAGATAACGATCGTATCGATAGGAACGCGGAATCCCTCCGACTTGTCGCGTCTGCCGATTAGAGATAATGACGGTTTTTAGGTACACAAAGATTAGCGCGTTTCAGAAAGAGACGGTCACGAATCGGCGAAAAATCGCAGAACTCTTGCGTTTGAATTGATACCAAGAAACTGTCCTCTTTACTGAAATTAAACGTTACTTGACGCACAGGTCTTGATTTTAATAATTACTGTTATCATACGTCGTTACCGTAAACGACCTACACGAGTAATATTTTAGTAAAGACCGGACTCTCTCTCTCTGGTAATTCATTCGATATCACCCCATGGATATTTACGACCGATGGGAGCGGCTTTTATCTTTCGGGCCAATTAAAACGATCGGCGTCACACTGATTGCCGCTCACACTACTTAATAATTAGAGGCGCCGCCTTGAAACGATTGTGGCGAGAATGTGATGGATGGGCCTACGATTAATTTGTTGTGCATACGGGCCGACCGCGTCTCGTCATCGCTCTGTTACTCCGAGAAATGTCAATCGTTTTAATGAATCGAGACGTGAGTTAGCTATCGGTGGACGCGCTCTTTTTTTACGGTAACTGAGTCTTACAATTAATAGGGAACTCGGATAAGTACGTCTTCATTAAATATCATTCTTAAAAGTACTCGAGGATTGATTTAATTTGGAGTGAATCTCCTTTTTTTAATATTTTAGACAAAAATATGAAAGAAGCCAGTCTCCACGTATTTCATATCCTTCAAGTCCAGAAGTTTTTCTATCCTTGACATTAAGGATTGGCATTAAGGCGTCAATCAATCTTCCAATGTTCTATCTCTCTCCTTGTACAAGTGATTAGGAATTGAACTTCTCGAAAGCCAAACTGATCAGCTTCGTGCAATAAAAAGTAGATAAAAAATTGACGAAGGATTACAATTAAATAATCCTGATACTAAAATGAAGAAAACGAGTTTATGTGAAACGAAGTCGATCAGTTCGCTTCCGAGAGGCTCAGTTGATAGTCAAATTCGCAAAGTTGCTGGTCGCAAATATTTCAATCGCACATTCCCTTTCAGGAGGATCTCGCCAGACGTGCTGCCGTCGTGCTCGCCAGGCGTATTTCGCCAGAAGTCATTTCACTCATCGACGCCGCCGCCGCCGCCGAGGGTGCCAGCAACAGCAGCAACATCGGCGTCCTTGCTGTCCTCCCGGAACAGCCGGGGCGCGCCCGCGTCCACGACGAACGATCGCTGCGCCCCTCGACAAGCCACCCCAGTCGTCGGCGCCACCCCGAACCCAGCCGCCGCTCCACGTGACGGCAGCGTCGGCAGCTCGCGATCCGCCAGCACCACCTCGCTGTCGTCGTCGCGGGGCGCCCGGGCAGCCAGCAAGCACACGCGCCTCGTCACGGCACTGGCCAGCAAAATGGCGTCCGCGAGCACCTCCACGGTCGTGCAGGGCTGGCCGAATACCAAGGACGATTACGAGCTGAAGGAGGTTATCGGTGAGTACCGATCGCCGTGCGGGACTCGTCCGGTCGAGGCGACGATCGGTGCGATGCGAACGCGCGGAAGGTCCGCGCGCGCACCTCGCTCGAACGGCGCCCGCGGCCACGGGGACGGGGGACGCGCGCCACCGGCGGCGGCAGGACGTCGATTCCGCGCTAGCGAACGGCTGGTGGCAGCTTATTTCCCCGTTAACGGAGCACCGACGGTAACGAGCGTGATAATGACGGTGATGACGGTGACGTTAATGTCACGAGGACTCGCCGTCGCGCGTCCTGCCGGGCTGCCGCTCGTCGGTCGAGCGCAACTCGGTCGTTCCGTCGCCCTATTTTCCCCGTTCAGGACGGCACGACGACGGCCGACGGCCTCGCCGATCGCCGTCTCGCTTCTACCGTCGCGCGTCGTCCTTCTCGCACTCGCGCCGTCACGCAGCTGCCGGTGCTGCTGCACGAGAGAGCCGCCGAACGTTCTACCCTAACCTAGTTAACCTGCCGCCGGAGAACGGGATGATACGCGCGTGCCAGTGCCGTATGCGCGCCGAGGTCGGGGGAATAAGAGGCACCGGCGCCACACGAGCCGGAGTTGTAAGCGAGGCACGTGACGCAACACAAAATTAATTTAAAATTACGAAAAAAATACGTGCGAGTGTTATTTTGGCGAAACAAGTCTGTCTTTCGAGTCACGCTAAAATTCTGACAATCAATTGAACTTGTAAATATTGGGAAATGTACTTGAGAAATCGTGTCTTTGTTTTATTTATTTAGGACGAGTTCCGGCAGTTTCGTGATAGAGCTATGTACTTATTTTACTAAATAATATTTCTATATATTATTATTATACTTTGTATAGTTTATATATTATGTATTATAACTGGATTACTTGCATGCTTATTACAAACGTTACATACATCAGATACTTAAAAAAAACGCTCTGTTATCAAATAATTTAAAACTCAGGAAGGTACGCGCTTCTTTTTGCATCTGTTTCGCCGGTTGTGTATTATTTATATTTGCAAGAAGATCAGCCGCAAGTTAGCGGAGCTAAATTATTTAGCGGTTTGCCGGCACCGGCGCGACGTCGCTCCGTTTTTAGCCGCATTTTGCGATGACTCGTGGCGTGCGAGAAAATTTGCTCCGATAGCTCCGATTAAAATGTCGAATTTCCTACGTAACGAGTAAAAATATCGGCGGCTCTTGAAATTTAAGCGTCTCTCTCTCTCGCCGCTCCCGGCCACTCCGAGAGAAATGTATTCGCTGCATATTTATAAATAGATCTCTCGTCGCGAGTTTCCCAGATTTAATTAGGCAAGTCTGGCGATTACGATCGCGCGCCGATAAACGCCGATATGCGACACGAAATTTCCCCTGATAATTCCCCGCGTTAATTCCTTCCCGTTAAATTCAAGGGGTTGGAGCGACCGCCGTGGTGCACGCAGCGTTTTGCATCCCGCGGCAGGAGAAATGCGCGATCAAACGAATAAATTTGGAAAAATGGAACACGAACATGGACGAGCTGCTGGTGAGTTTTATTCTAATCTTGACATTGGACTTCACGCGGCGACGGATTAATGCGACACACATACGCGGCCTCTTGATAAGGCTTTTATACATTGTATGATTCATTGGATTAATGATCTTATCGATTATAACGTATGCTGCATCCAGCATGATGCAAACATTGCGGATTAAGCACGATGCTGCTGCTAATTTATTCTTGTCTCAACGAGATGTTATTTCAAAAGTAGAGCCTTTTCAGTTCAAAAGATAGAGAGTTGATTCTTGGAATAAATCTTTTTTTCGCAAATAAGTTAAAATGATAAATTTAGTTTTAATGTACAGACAAGAAGTTATTATTAATCGAGACTTTTTATGTGGCGAAACATTAGAAAGAGATACAGGCGATGTCTTCTTGCAACCACGAAAACGTCGTGACGTATTACACGTCGTTCGTGGTGAAAGAGGAGCTCTGGCTGGTCTTGAGATTACTGGAGGGTGGATCTCTGCTGGATATCATCAAGCACAAAACCAGAACCACCAATTGCAAACACGGAGTATTCGACGAGGCCACCATAGCCACGGTACTGCGAGAAGTACTCAAGGGACTTGAATATTTCCACAGCAACGGACAGATTCACAGGTATCGTGAAATATCGTCTGTCCCTTATAGATTGTTCTATTTTTACTGAAGATACAGTTTTAAAACGTGCGTTTATTTCTCCTTGATCTATTGTTTGATCATTAAAGTGAAACTGTATCGTAAAAAAGTTGACGATTAGCTATATAGCTATTTTATTATCTACGCATCTAGACGAATTTTAACGGCAGAATAATATTAGGGACATAAAAGCGGGTAATATCCTACTAGGCGAGGATGGCACGGTGCAGATCGCCGACTTCGGTGTCAGCGCATGGCTCGCGACTGGACGCGACCTGAGCCGGCAGAAGGTCCGGCATACCTTCGTCGGTACGCCGTGTTGGATGGCGCCCGAGGTCATGGAGCAGGTGAGAGAGGAAAGTAACACTACAGACTTCTTAGCCTGCGTGTTCTCTGTGTCTACATTTTGTGTATGCGTTTGTTAAATGTACACGACACTTTATCGGGACGGGACATGTGTACGTTGGCGACCCCGTACGTTTGCGACTGGCAAAATACGCTTTTGCTATCGTTGAGGCGACACACGAACCTCGCGTGCGTCAGTGTCGGTTTTGCCGTTGCGTGCGACATGAGGAAATGCTTTTATCGTCTCGTTTTAATCGAAAATTAATTTGAATTAGCAATGTTATCTTGTTGAGCATGATTTGCGTTAAGCATGTTATGCAAGTAGCCACATAAAATATTGCACTGAGGAAATATTATGCTTTACGCAGATTTTCACAGTTTTTCAATAATACTCAAATTAATCATCCCATTACTTGGATCTATATTTCTGTATGTTATCATCTTTGTATTACATTGTTGTTCGTTTTGTTTTGTCAAAACATCAGTTTTCGTATTTTTATCTATGTTCGGACACGTGTGCACAGCTCTAACATATTAATCGTACATTGTTTTATTCGACTTTAATCAAATATGAGTGTATATTGATTGCTAAAACGACTTTTTGAAAATTTTGATGATCTTTGCAGAATAAAGTTTGAGAACTGCTGTGTCAGGAGAAATCGATGTCAAATTCGTTAAAAAAATCTATCAAAAACATAGTTTCCGATAATTGCGGGGCCATCCTGTGTATGAGACTGCAGTTATAAACCACATTTCGAAGATTTTTGGCAAGCATGCGATTTCTGCAAGCACGATTTCATGAGATATTGGCAATCTTTCCGTCGCATACCGTCCACTGTAAAATCAATTATGATATGCGTGTCTGTTTGTGCAGGACCATGGCTACGATTTTAAGGCCGATATATGGTCACTTGGCATCACGGCGATCGAGATGGCCAGCGGCACGGCGCCGTACCACAAATATCCCCCGATGAAGGTCTTGATGCTGACGCTGCAGAACGATCCGCCGACTCTGGATACCGCCGCGGACGACAAGGACCAATACAAAGCGTACGGGAAAACATTCCGAAAAATGATCGTCGACTGTTTACAAAAAGATCCTACCAAGAGGTAAGCCAGATCGCGCTATTTTGTGTACATTGCTACTTCTATTAAACGTTTGCCGAAGCAGTTAGAATAGTTAGAGTAAATAGATAACATGCTAGAGGGGGGTGGGGGGCATAGTTTAACTTGCTTGAAGGCCTTTGGTATCATCGTATGATTTATCGTATGGATTTTTTGGTAGCAAAAATAAGAATAGAAGGAGATTAGTATATAAGATTGTAAAATAAGTATTATATTTAGTATTATAAACAATGATTTATATTGTTTCAGACCAACAGCTACCGAGTTGCTGAAACATCCCTTTTTCAAAAAAGCCAAAGATAAGAAATATTTACAACAAACGTTAGTGGCGATTGGACCCAGTTTAGAAACACGTGTACAAAAAGTATGTATTTATATTATTTATGCAATATATGCAAATTTGTATGTAATTATTTATTATTGAGATTCTACAGAGTTAAAATTAAAAAAAAATTATATTTTAAGCAATATTAAAAGAAATTTTTTGCGTTTACAGGCATCAAAAAGGCAACCAGGCACGTCGGGCCGTTTGCACCGAACGGTGACCGGCGAATGGGTCTGGTCAGAAGAAGAGAATAACGGTGACTCGAGCAGCGACGAAGGCAAAGAAACGTTACCGGTCAACACAATCGAAAAAGCCAGCAGCGATGAAGAAGCCGGCGAACCCGACGAATACTACGGTCAAATCAAGGTAGCACCGAGTCAAATCGCGATACCAGCTACCGGACAAAATGTTCCTATAAACTTGGTGCTTAGATTACGGTACGTAATCTTCATTATAGAATCCGAATGAGAATTATTTTCTCGATATATGATGTTTATAGATTATCCCGGTTGTTACCTAATTACCCGATTTATCTTTTAAAGAAAATAAGAGATAATCATCTCAAGACATCTATTTCAGGAACGAAAGACGGGAGCTTAATGACATTAGGTTCGAATTTACGGTTGGAGTTGATTCTGCGCAAGGAATCGCGGCAGAACTGGTCGCTGCGGGCTTGGTCGACGGCAAGGACGTTGTGGTAATAGAAACAAATCTGAAAAAGTTGATAGAGAGTGGAGGACAATTGCGAACAGTGACGTTTTCCTTGGTAAATATTAATTTTCATATTACATTTAATTATCGAATATAAATATATATATTTTAATGTTTAAGATAAAAATATACATTAAAAATATGTGTATTTTTATAAGTTAATTTGATTATATTTATATCTAATTATTTCTCCTTTTATTGTTACAGAACTCGGGTTACGCAGTGAATGAAGTACCAGATGACAAGGCGTTAATAGGATTTGCTCAGATCTCCATCACTGATTAAACAACCTCGATTGCGTTCTAAATTTTCGGGATAATGTTCTTAATTGATACATTCGTCAAGATCCAGAGAGTACCAAAAGCTAACAAATCGGCTAAATGCTATTTCTCAAAATAGACTAGTAGATGGTAAAAATAAAAGGCTCGCGGCACACAACACACGTAAATCAGTCTGATCACTGAATGCTTGCCAGCATGTCTTAGCTTTTGATACTTTCGTTTCTTTCAGATTCTAATAGTCGATTGCAGGGCGTAGGTATTCGAAAAGAAAAACACATTTGTTACAACACATCGGTAATAACGAACTGCTCAAGTGTGTGTCTGATAACATCGTCAATGTTCATGAAGACAATCGAACGGGGCGGATATATATAAAAAACACTATCATCCACGTACTGGCTTAAGGACATACACTTACCTGTATAATCAATAATGGCTGTAGTTTTACATAACCGAATTATATCGTTCGTATTATGTCAGTTATGTAAATATTAGTATTCGACCGTTATTTTATTTCTTCTTTGTGGTTGATATATATGAAATGGGATAAAATACCGCGAAATGCGATATTTCGTATAAGTAAGAGTAAACTTAGAGGTTTGAAAGAGAGAGAGAGAGAGAGAGAGAGACAGAGAAAATGCTTTATAATCTAACTTATTTGTTCAAAATATAAGCAGTTTCTCTTGAATATAGCAAGGTTTTAGTTATATAAAAAAACCAATTGAATATTCTACACACAGAGTCATCATGTTTATGTATCATATACAGATTAATTGCATATATATATATACATATATACATTATATATTTATATATAATATGCTTCATGTTAGGAAAAAAAGATAGACAATGTTGAAATAAAACTCTTTTGTACTTAATTAAATAGACTTACGATAGAGCAAATTAATATTTTCACAGTTTTTAGACGTAGCCAGAAAGAGAGAAGGTTAAATCGAAAAATTTTTACCTTGTACGTCTCGAAAATTTTTAAATTAAATCTTTTTGTAAGGTACATCATAAAATGGGTAAAATCAGAATCATATGAGAATGTAAACATGACAAAATGGCAATGAAAAAAGCGATATTACGGTTTCACGGATTAAGTGTGCAATTTACAACACTTTTGCATCTCTTAGGAATTGCAAAAAAATCTTTTTTTGCGACGTTATTGTCTTTTGTTATGTTTACAGATTATTAAAGTTTATAAAGGGTTTTATATATAACAAAAAAAAAAACAATGTATAATTTTATGAAACTTTTAATAATATTTTTAAAATTAAGTTTTTAAATAACTCTTGATGAGAGAGAGTTACAATATTTTTATTTTGTTATATTTTCTACAGAGATGAATTTCTAATTGTGATGTATACGTATGTTACAATTAGAAATAAAATCAAAGTATAAACAAGAATACGAAAGATTTATCGAAAATCGATTATCACCGCAAGAGCACGGTTGTAATCAGTGTGATTCTGTATTTTATCGATTTTTATACAAACTGCAGCGGGTCGCATTATGATATGGTAAAGGATATACATATTTCGCGATCGATATTCTGCAAATATAATATACACATGTGCTATTTTCGTGAATTTTCGCTATTTAATTATTCTTAACGAGTAAGGTCTTTAAACAAGGTGTGAAATTGGCACGCGACTCCACATTTCCTTTGCCATATTGCAACAACTACACGCATACGCAAACACCAACACGCAAAATGTTAAATTCGCGACACAAGATTTGCCGAATGAAATCAGTTGTGTAGCAATGATCGAAATACAAATCTGTTGATATACGTGTGATGATTATATGCATATACTCCGTACTAAGAGCCAGCTGTGTGGTTTAATTAGGCGACACGCTCTTTTTATGCTTAAATACGCGAGGAGTAAATATAATTACTTTTAAGCCGCAAGATTGATAATCGCACGTTAGCTTAAGTAGTACCTTTACAGATAAGCGTATCCGATGGCACTATCATCCCGCGTAGCACTCGTAGACTTCTCGTGTACACCGCGTTTTGCCGGCAGTGAGTTTCGATCGATTCGACATAGCTTGCGCACCTCACTACGTGCCTTATCCGGAGAATGCATTTGGTCATATCGAAAAATCTGTGTTTCCCATCCGTGATTGGGGAGTTCATTTGGGACTGAACTTACAATTCGGAATTTTACGTCAGGAACGGGATTCTTTTTTGCAACACGATTAAAACAGTGCCAAATCGAGTGTGTTGTTGTACGTAGCGATTATAAATGTGTATCAAGAGGAAAAAAAAACAATAATTTATTTGTATCAATATCAAACGTCGTTTTGCCAATGAGAACCATTGTATTTTATTTCATCGCGAGTTTATACGACTGTGTAAGAGAGAGTGGACTGCGGCAGCCGAGAATGGACAATGATACTTAACACAGATTTAAAAAAAAAAAAATAATAATAGATTCCTCCGTGTAGTAGCGGCAGCGGAGTTTGTCTTATGTTCCCCGAGCGAACATTTCCGTTACTGAATTTCCAGCAATAAATTGTTCTTCACAAACGAATTCTTTGAACGCTAAATCTTCAGATAGAACTTTGTGGAGCTTGTTCCTGATTTCGAAATCCGTATTATTGCAAAAACGATTCGCGACTCTTCACGTTCATAACAACTGTCTTATTGCTGCGAGATCTTGCAAAGTGCATAAAATTATTCCCTCTTACATCTCGCAGAAAAGGATGATGTTACTCGAGGAAACGCGAGAGACAAAAAAAATTTAAGAGTTTTTGAAATGTTGATATATTTTATATTTCAAATTTACTGTATCCTACAAATATAATGGCCGCGTTCAGCAGACACAACTGTTGAGTTCGCCTTATCAATACGGTGCGTTGATTGGTTGGTTCTAAAAGTAAGAGCCACGCACGTTCGATTGCTACCATTCTACTGAGCGGCTTGGTCTGCTGAACGCGGCCAATTCGCTTCTCCAGTTTGCGCGCTTGCCATCGCATGTCGCACGTGTCATGTCAATATCCTAACCTAACCTGCCGCCTCGGAGCCGTGCCGATCAGCTGATCGCCGAGTACAGCTCGTATACAGCTGATCGTTGACGTTTGCGGCAGTTTGCGGTGCGAACGCCGCATGAATCGAGAATTTAGATTTCGGAATTATCCCAGCATCGTCGAACGAGACAGCCGACATTTCGTAATCGCATTTTCCTCGCAGACTCACAGCGGACATCGGCGAGGAGAGAATTGAGAGAATGCGTGCGGAGGCCGAGCGCGGAAGGTGCAACTAAAGTCAGCAGACACAATTTTATTTTTTGATACTTATATCAAAATTTCTGAATTATATCTATGCGCACGTAATTTATGTCGCAACTCGGAGATCGCAGGCGTTCTAGCTACGGCACCGGTCGCGCGAATTTACGAGCAGGAATCCGGCAGGCGCGCGAGCGCGCTTTCCACCCGCGGCGTTCCCGAAATTGATTTCATGACGCACCTGCGACTCGACCGTCTCATGTCCAAGCTCCAATCGATCGCTCGGCGACGGTACCTCGCCCGGGCGAACGTCCTCGCGCTCCTGGTCGGGGCGCTCCTCGTCCTCCTGTGCGTGCGTTACCTGCCGGCGCGGGGATGCTCAGCAGATCGGCAGATTTCGGAAGCCAAGCCCAAGTACAGGCTGATCGTCCTGGTCATGAGCGGGCCGGACAACCTGGAACGTCGCGACACTATCAGGAAGACCTGGCTGGCCGATCACAGCCACGGCGCCACGGTGAGGCACCTCTTCGTCGTCGGCACCCAGGACATCCTGCCGGAGCAGAGGAACACCCTGCAGTCGGAGAAGGAGAAGTTCGACGATCTGCTGCTGCTGCCCAGGCTGCAGGACTCCTACGGCACCCTGACGAAGAAGGTCCTCCACGCCCTGAAAGCCGTCCACGAGCACTACGACTTTGACTACCTGCTGAAGTGCGACGACGACTCTTACGCGCTGGTGCACAAGATCCTGAAGGAGCTCGACAGGTGGCAGAGCAAGGGCACCAGGCGGGAGCTCTACTGGGGCTTCTTCAACGGCCGGGCGCAGGTGAAGCGGAGCGGTCCCTGGAAGGAGGCCGATTGGATCCTGTGCGATTATTACCTTCCTTACGCTCTGGGCGGCGGGTACGTCCTGTCCTACAATCTCGTCAAGTTCATCGCCAGCAACGCGGACATCCTCAAGTGAGTACAGCTGCGAATCACGTATAAAATACTTTGCTACTTAACATTATACTTGTGTTTTGTTGTATATATAAAGATCCTGTAATGGAGAACGGATAATTCTCTATACAATATGTTTATTCCAGTCTTAATTCTTCCTTTACCATTTTCTTTATAAATTTGCACATCCTAGGCTGCATAATTCCGAGGACGTCTCCGTCGGTCTTTGGCTGGCGCCGCTGGCGAACATCGAGAGGAAGCACGACGTGCGCTTCGACACGGAATACAGATCGCGCGGCTGCTCCAATCAGTACATAATCACGCACAAGCAAACGATCCCGAACATGAGAAGCATGCACGAGTACTATCAGGCCTCCGGCGCGTTGTGTCCCAAGGAAGTGAGGAATCGCATGAGCTATCAGTACAATTGGACCGCACCACCTAGTCAGTGCTGCAATAGACAATCCGGGATCCCTTAACGCGACGGGGGGGACGAGATTTCTGCAACGTTCTAGTCTGGTTTTTTGATACTTGCTCAAAAAACATTCTCATGTTTATCGCGTACATTTGCAATGGCTCTAAGCATTATATTTATATTCTGACTTGTATCTTCATTAGGATACATTGACATCAAATATCGTAAAAATGTAGCCGTAACTCCCAAAAGCAATTTCAGCAGTATTATTGAGAAAAGTAGCGAAAGATTATAACGAATTCGTGACGTTTCTTCGGAAGAATTAAAGCGAAACTATAAATTTGGATTTTATTCGTATAATATTTTACTCGTATAATATAATTATACGACCGCGCTATTAATTAATTAAAAATGCTTGTAAATATATTTTGTAAATATTCAGAGACGCGTAGGACAGGTTGACATAGACGAGATAAGTTTCGATGAACTAAATATATTTTTTTTAATCGTATTGCTGTATTCGTTTATAATACACTTTTCACATCTTCAACAGGAGTTTACTTCATGTATATATAAACCGATGTACATTCATAACATATAAAAACAGTAATAACGTTAATAATTTAATATTCTAATTAATCTAATTAAAACTATGAGTCGATCGTTATAGAGCGAAATCACAGATATATTCGAGAAACGGCCGTGTAAAAGTGATAAAAAAAAAAAAAAAAATGTGAAGTGATTCTTGTGCGACGCGGTTGGCATTACTAATAAATTACTATTTTGATATATAAAAAGAATGTAAAGCGATAGTGAAACAATGGCCGATTCTCAAAACGTTTTCCGTCTGTGATGGATTTATGTCCGAACTGTGCTTCCATTACATCTAAAATTGATAATAAGAATTCATTTATCAATAATAAAATTTCACTCATGTATCTATTTCATACATTTGGAAATGAGATCAAGTTTATTATATATGTATTAATCATAATCATTTCAATATCTAAGCTTTTTCTAATATAGAAAGAGCTCGCGAGATGCAGTTCTATATATCGCGATAAAAAACTCAATTTCTACATATTACAGCAAAACGTATCATATATCTGGAGAAATTGTTTACGGCGAGTTATTTGGCGATAACAATCCGCGTTTGCATATCATACGTTTATTGTTATATACGTCATGTAAAAATGAAAAAATTGTCTCGTTACCAGTATTAGATGCAATGGAAATGCAGTTCTATTCTCTCTCTGTACATGTCTTTCATAAATTTTCTCCTAGCGTCCTTTTATATAAAAGTCGGTTTACTTTCAATATGAAAAAGTCATGCCCTCTTCTTCAAACCGACGGTGATTCACACACACACACAAACGTTTCTAGGAATTACTTCTTTTTGCGATCTTGCGTACATTTGGGACAATACCACTTTCCTTTAGGTTTCGTTGTTAAACCTACGCAGGCGAAGTGGAACCATTCTATAGGGCACTGAAATGCGAAAAAAAATAAGGAATTAATTATCTCGCAATCCTGTGATATCTATGATTTTTAAGTTATAACGAGAATCGAAGAAAAATGCATCTTGAAAAACATAAATAGACAACAAAGCTTCGTTCGAAATGTAATTTCTAGTGGATATTGCTTTAAAAAGTCTTTTTAAACAAAACTTACATCTGGATTGTCACAACCGATCATTTCTCCGTATGATACTTGGTGACAAAGACAGTAAGTCGGTTCGTTAGGGTCGACAGGCATGTCTAGAACATCAGCTGGATGGCCGAGTGTCGTCGCGTCTACCTGGGCGCCACTTCCCACAGCGCCAGTGGATGATGCTGAAGCTACAGAGCCACCTAATGTGAATATATGCGTTTATAATCAAGTAATGGACTTAATATTTAAGGATTGACACAAGCAAGATGCGATTGTAAGAGCTTGATTCGAATGTACCTTTCTTCTGCTTCTTTCTCGCATTCTTAGCTTCATCTTCACTGCTCACCGCGGTACCCTTCTTCCTCTTCTCCTTCTCCTTGAGTTTCTTTCTACCCTTCTTGCTGGCATTGCTCTCTTCCTTTGCTCTGTTGCTGTTCAACGTTTTGTCCTGTATCTCTGCCTCAAATCTCGCCAGATCTGAATCCAGTCGTCTGATGTGTTTATCAACCAATTCATAGGTTTGAATGGCTAATTGGACCTTGTCATCGCCATATTCCTTAGCCTTGTTAAAGAGGCTCTGTATATGAGCGAGCTGCTCCTTTCTCTTCTCCGGCGATTCCTTCTTTACATTCCTCAAGTAATCGTCCGCCAATTTATCGATGTCCTTCATCAAACCCTGTGCTCTCGCATCCAAATCGCGCATTAATGTAAAATTCCTCTGTAATTCAATTGGCAAATGCTCGAGGCCTGTAACACACGTGTCGACAAAGTCATATTAACTGGTCGAGACTGTCACACATGTTTACCATTAAAACAAAAATAAAGACAAGAAACAGATAGTATAATTTTAAATGCAAAATTTTAATTAGAAAAGATTCAATATTAACAAAAAAGATACTGAAAAATTCAGATGGGGAAGAGGATAGAACGAAACAAATAAAAATCGAGAGAACACGAAAGAACGACGTTCGCGCGTCGATAAAGTTCCCACTTTTTGAAAATCTTTTTCTTTCGCCTTTTCCTCGCATCGGGAGTGGAAAAATAAGAGCGGAATAGAACTTAAAGAAAAAGAAATAAACTGGCCCGAACATACAACGCCAGTACTCACTGTCGAGATAGTGTTCCAGATACAGTGCGGTCGTCATGACGGTTGCGTCGTATCTTCATGTAAAACAATTGGAATTATCCGTACAAATTAATTTTCTTAAACGAGACGCTCGACAACGGCAAGCTAAAAACTCAATCAGTGATAACCGACAACGATCCACGAGAGATAACGGACACCGATAAAAGCGCGACAGCCATGACTGCCAGCACGGTTGCCAACCACCGTTGATCTTTTCCTTTATCTTTTCACCACCGTTGCCGCTTCTAGGGGAAAAGATCGCGCGGAATTGCTGTCCGCGGAAATAAAAAAAAAGAATAAAAAAAGAAAGATGAAGAAAAAAAAGGGGAAAAAGATAAAAAGTTGAATCGAGATTTTACTTTTTACCTTTTTCCAATTTTGAAAATTGGAAAAAGATAAACCGAGATCGATAATCAGAATTCGACCAATCAGAACGAAACTGATTGAAATTGAACTTATTTGATTGGTCGAATTAATTTTCAGTTCACAATCTTCGATCTCCAAATGCGTCATTGACATAATGCACAATAAACAAAATAGATGAACGGACCGTTTCTTTGCGCATCCATGCGATTATGCAGCTCCGTCTGAATGGACCTTAAAGCGGAGAGCACACACTTCTGCACAACGCATAATGCGTAAGCATAAGAAAATTGATTGGTCCATATACATGTGCATAAGGAAATAGACCAATCAATTTTCTTATGCTTACGCATTGGGCGCGTTCAGCAGAACGAACCGCTCAGTAGCAATCGAACGTGATTGGCTCTTACTTTTAGACCCAACAAATCAACGTAGCGTGTTGATAAGACAACACTCAACAGTTGTGTCTGCTGAACGCGGCCATTATGCGTTTGAAGAAGTGTGTGCTCCCCAGTAGTCCCCAGTGCTCCCCGCTTTACCAATCGCGCGATGTAAACGTAGCTTTAAGCATGTTTTTCATCGCGTAGAAAGACGGATAGGGGGGAAGAGAGATAGAGAAAGAGAGAATTGAAAGAGAATAAAATAGAAGAAGTCACAGAGGAGACGCACGTTTCGCAGATTCAAGCTCGATTCCAGCGGACGCATCCGGACGTGAAATTTCCCGAACCATGTGCTCCCCCGTGATTTCCCACCGTAATGTTTTACCTGCTCGGTATCCCGTCGCGCCGGTTGCCGCGTTTTTGCTCGATGCTGCATAGGAAGCGACGTGGGAACGATGGCTGATATTCTCAGGTAAACGCGCCAAACGTCACCGCGTGCTGCATTTCGGCCAAGCGCGGCTTGGCGACGCGCGTTCCCGCGTGCCGTTTTAAACGTGGACGGAAGAATGCGCCTAGTGAACGTAATGTCTCAAATCGGGAAACAAAACGTTCTTCAAGACGCCTTATCTCCCGATTTGAGACACGCGTGTTGTCTGAGCTACCTCGGTTATCATAAATCTCTTGCTCTTCATAATTATGAATCTTTGTAAGTATCGGTATTTATTTGCATATAAATTGTTTACGCGATATTACAATGTCCAATATATATTGTTTAATTAAAGAAATAAACAATTTTGTCAATTTTATCATTCATTTTGTTTAATCATCATTTTGTTCAATTTCAGCCCATACATTGGTGTCCTATCAGATAACTTGTGAAACACATGGCTGACGAGAAATCATCCGATTACCGTGCGTTCTGTGCGGAAGATAACGACGAGATCGAGGGCCTTAATGAGAAGCTGATACAATTGTTATCTGTGCAAAAGTTATTGCTTCCGGTATCCAACAGTTCGCCGTGCGACAGTAAACTAGAAAGCAATAGCGATTCTAAAGTAATCGCCAAGGCATCTGAGTCTCTGTCGTTTAGCCATTGCAGGCATGACTGCTCCGTTCTGTGTCATGGTCATGATAGCCCATCTAAGATGCCGAGTACATCAAATCTTCCACCTATTGGCGTATTTTGGGACATTGAAAATTGTCAGGTTGGTTCGATATAATCTTTAGATTCTCCCTTTCTGTTATTAAAATAATATCCTGTCGTGCGCGTGTATTATAGGTTCCTAAAGGTAGATCCGCCATAGCGATTACCCAATTGATTAGAGATAAATTTTTTAATGGCTATAGAGAGGCAGAATTTATCGTAGTTTGTGACGTTCAGAAGGAGAATAGCCAAATTATACAGGAACTGAATGACGCTCAGGTAAAACCAACTACTTGGCACGATCTCGCTTAATTTGCAACGATATTTGTTACCAAATCATTTATTCTGCATTTGTTAGGTTAATTTAATACACGTAGCTGCTACATGTAAGAACGCTGCGGATGAGAAGCTTAAACAGACCATTAGAAGGTTTGCCGACATCCACGGCAGCCCAGCAGCCATAATCTTAATATCCGGCGACATTAATTTTGCCGCTGATCTCAGTGATCTACGTCATAGAAAGAAGATTCATGTGATACTGCTGCATAAGAAGAATACCTCAGAAGCGTTAATATTATGCGCCAATGAACATTATGATTTTATGGAGCTCACGGAGCCACTGCCGTCCAGACCTCCACCAAAGGTAATGAAGACTGGTATGTGACGACTATAATATTGACAAGGGAATTTCCATTCAAAACTGTTTTATAAATTACGTTACACTTTTCTCAGATGTATTTATTTAATAAACAATATTCAGCGTATACGTAGTATACTTTTTCTCACTCTTTATTTCCGAATATACTTTGTTTTATCTTATGTGTATCTGTGTGTAGTATACTTTGTATTTCCCAATTCACGTGTGGTTCAGACTCATTTCCGGTAATATATTGTATATACAGTAGAGATATATGTACTTTAGTGATTTGTCTGGTGATTATGTATAGAGACACATATATCAAGGGAATGCGCTTAAATTTCAAATTTTGATTACGTTTATCAACGTACATAGTGATTTCATCATCATGGGAATTACGAGCAATTTTTCCAAATTAACCACTTTTAAGAAACACGTATCTATAATGTTAGAATTTACTGGTATTACACAATCTGTCCTTTGCATGTATACATGTATGTCTTTACCTATGAATATAATTTAACCTTTTTCAGGGTAATGAATCCTATGACCTCCTAATTAATAATCTTCCCGATGAAATAGATGTTAATATCATTAAGCGTCGTCTTAAGCAATTATCCGAAAATTGTGGTGGTCGTGTGGTAGATGTCCAGTCCAATACTGCCATAGTGCGGTTTACGTCGCATAGTTCTGCAGAAAGGTATATATTTTATTAATTTTGATTACCACAGGTATATAGAAATAGAAATTCCATCAGATATGTAGAACATTTGGGCTTTTTTTTCTTAAATTAATTTAATGAAAATATGTATCTTTCATTCATATTTCATATACTCGTTAATGGAAGTAGATGGAGCGAATCTCAAAGTTAATTTGAGTCTGCAGGCAATAATCGGAAAAATTTTAGTTAATATTTACGTTCCTTTTTCTTCTTCGTTATCCATATATTAATTCTTATTTAAATAACCCGCTCGTACGTCGTGCAAATCAGCCTTTCACATTCTTTGTTCTGTCATTGGATCGGTGTGTGTACATATAAGAAAAAGAGGAAAAACAATCTTGTATGCCTTCTGTGTTACATATAGATTTAGCAGGGACGAAAACATAAATAGGAAAGATTCGAAATAACAGACAGTAATGTAACGAACGTAGCGGTATCAAAGAACATCATATAATAAGTTTACTTACTGTTATATTTATTAGCACTTATTAGGATTTATTATAGTGAAGTTATTTCTGCAGAGTAATATATATCTTGTTTAGTATTTATTGTTTTTTATAATTTAAATGTTTAATCGTAATGTTGAGTGATGGTTTTGCTGTTGGTAAGTTATAATGTCTATTGTGTCGCCATTATCAAAGAAGTTTTGTGCCGTTTAATATCGAGAAACGTTTATTTTACACGCAATTTATTTTATACGTGTATTCTCATTTAAAATAAAATATTGTAATAACTAAAATTAATAATTATTAAGTACTGTTGAAATCGATCTGTGTTTCTAGGTACTTGTACATTCTTGCGATCTACAAGGTCATTTATAAGTGGAATTAGTTGTTAAGGGGACTATAGAATAACAATGTAATTTTGTTTTTCCGCACTTTTTTTATTTTTGTTAGGGCTCAGAAGCGTATGGATGGAGAATATGTTTATGGGTCGAAAATACTTGTGAGATATCTCGGAAAGGAGAAAGGAAATATAATCGTTAAAAATCTAGGTACGTTTGTAGCCCTTAGTGAAGTAACGCGATAAATTGTCAAGCTTATTGTGATTAATAATACTGTTTCAGGAAGTGTTATAACTCGAAGTAGGGCAGTCAGTGAATCGGAAGTTGTTGCTGACTCTAAGCAAAGTAGCTCCAAGCAAATGTATGCTGCGAGTGCCTCTGTACTTGGGACAAGAACCCTCCAATTTCCGCATTATCAATCCGCGTCATCCGTAGTGGGTGCCTATGGTCCTGCTTTCAATCCCCATTGTGCGCCCATCAATGGCCCACCATCAGGGTCAGTTTGTGAAATTTGTTAAACCTATTTATCTGGTAAACTAACGCGACATATATTTTCTTTTAAATGATGATAATCCGAGAAAGAGCTCTAGAGTCGCGAGTAGATTTTTATCCTTGCTGATTCGGGCTATGAACTTGTAATTTGATCTTATCTGATACACAATATTAAACAAATTTTATATTTGCTGCAAAATCGTAACGGATTTTAATATCTTTATTTTATATTTCAGGCTGATACAACCTCCGTTATATTTCGGGAGGGCGTATCCGAATAGTGGCGATGTAGCTTTTAATAGGACATACAATGATCTTACTAGAGTGCAGTCACCAAATTTAATTTGGCCAATTCCGGGACCTCAACAATATGGCCATATATGGGAAGAACAATACAAAGTTAGTTTTGTTTAGAGGAATATTTAAATTTATCTCTAAACATCTCTGTTTTCTTTACTCTCACCCTTGTTTGTAATTTGCTGTAATTGGTTTACCTCTCATTGTTTATAACGTTCACGTGTATAACATACTAAACGACTAATTTTGTTCAAGGCGGAAAAGTCGAAGGTATTAAGCAAACGAGTTCACATCCCGCAGGTTCGGGACAATAATGTTGCTGTTACCACGCTTTCTCGTACACCTGAAGGTCTTAGGCGCATCAGAGGTACACACGGGACATTTCTTCATGCTTCCGAATGGCTTGGAGGGCGGCAATCGTACAATTCATTAGCTGTTCCACTTAGTTATAATGGTAACGAACTGAAATCAATTTTGTATTACGTTACGTCAATTACGTATGACAATTAATAATATATATTGTTGAAACAGCCCAATCCAATTCTTTCAAACGGCGTAGCCCATCTCCGCTGTACGATGCACCGACTAGAGAAAAGAGCTCGTGGCACGGTCAGGTACAAACACAATTGTATTCTTATTGTTTATCTTACATTATATTCAGAGAAACGAAAAAATATATGTCTTATCTTTTTCTTTTTCAGAATCAACATCAGATTCCTACACGAAACAATAAGACACCATCACCTTATGAAAATAGTATGTTACAAGGGACAGGACAACACAATCAAACATCACGGTCGCATCTAAGTGATGCAGAAAACGAAGAAGTAGAGGTACATTTATATATCGTTACGTGTTAATTTACTTGTAATCTATACTCTTTATTTAATTTATTTAATTTATGATTTCTTATAATCTTTTCTCTTTCTCTCTAGAAATTTTTAAATCCTATAAACAATCGCGTCGGATCTAGCATCAATAATGGTACTAATATACCAATCGAATTGCAAGTAACAAATTTAGATCAAAACATCGATATGAAAGACATGAAGCGAATTCTTACGGCTGTGTTTACGGAACACGTCTCGGTACGTGGCCATGTATTTATTGAAAACTTATAATTTATGTACAATCTTTTATTGTAGAGACACTTGTTGCAGAGATACGTTTCTTTTCTATTCTAGAACTGTCATATTACTGTATTTACGCAATCGGACGGTAATTACGCCGCTAGTGTCAAATTACTCTCGTTATCGGACGCACAATATGCGATCTCGCAATTACACCGTCGTAAAATAGGCTACAAGCGCATTTTGATATCTTACGCTCATAACGGTGGACCAAATCTGCAACTTATCCGAGCACAAATCGTAATGCTGTTGCAAGAGGTCCCGGGACACAAACTGCCGCTATTCAAATTCCGCGAGATGTACGAGAGCCGGTTTATGATTTCTATAAGCGTGTCGGAACTCTACAAGATGAGAGACGTATGCATAATCACCGAAGATCCGAGCGGCAGAATGGTCTCGCTCAATCCGGATCATAGAAACACACCATCGCCGTGCTTTAGTAATACGATGCAGGTGCGCGATATACTCCGTGTTACACGTGTATTGTTTGTAGCATTTGCAAAATGATGAATAAGAAGCCGAGTCTGAGCTTTTCCGGTGACGGTCGAACTACATTATAGTTCCTTTTACTGTCGAGAAGCTTTGATCATACTGTAAAGCGATTTATCCTGAATTAATATGTTCTCTTTTATGTGTGTGATGAAAGATTTATAATTTTATACATATAAAAGACACTGAATAATGTTCACAGGATGGACAAGTCAAGTTACCGTATTGCACAATGCATACCGCGAAACCGTTGCTGGACAAAGGCTGGGCGGAACAAGAAATGGCATCCTTACCCAATGTAAAGATCTCTTTGAAGCTTCTCGAGTCTCGTGTGCAACAATTATTGGTGTCGCACAATGGCATTCTACCTTTGCCAAGGTGTGTTTCTTATTTATATTACATTTTGTATACAGTACGAAAGAATTATGATACATATTGCAATCTGTTGAATAATTTCAGTCTACCGACTTGTTACGAGGCTGAATTCAAAGAACAATTGGAAATCATAGAAAATGGTGTACCTTTAGAACATTTGGTTTCGTGCTTATCATGCGTCGAATTAAAACAAGATACCGGCAGCGTGAAATATATTATGTGGATAGGAAAGAAAGACCATGACAATAATCACGATGGTAGTTATTCTATAATTCGATAACAATTATTTTGAATACAAGGTTGATCAAAGTTTATTGTCAAGAGTCGTTGCCCTTTTCAGAAACTAAGTGCGTGAGTCCACCGCTCGCGACTCAGTTAGCCCTTTTTAGCCGCGAACTGGTCGATCTTCTGAAAACCGCTCCGCACTGCCAATTATCATTTAATCGATTTATACCGGCGTACCACCATCACTTCGGACGGCAGTGCAGAGTCGCCGATTATGGGTTCACTAAACTAATAGATCTGCTGGAGGCGCTTACGTCCACTGTTCAAGTATGTAAATTAAACGACACGTCCCGCGAATAGGTGTTAAATCAGAATGATCTGCGAATCGTCGCGTATCCTTTCAGGTGATGGGAGAGGGCAATAAACGCACGGTTACGCTATCGCATCGTGCTCAAGTACGCAGATTCACCTCGGATTTACTACGAGTGCTGAAATCGAAAGCGAGCAAGCAAGTGGCACTTTCGGAATTTCCAAGCGTTTATACTCGAGTAATAGGTACAACAAGCAACTCCGTAACATTGATTTACTCGCGTTTAAATTTTTTGAAGGTGGATAATCGGTAAATTTTTTTCCCAGCAAAACCATGGGACATCGTGGATTATGGTGTATGCGATATCGAAGATATTCTGGGTGAAGTGTCCGAGAACACGGTTGTCGTAACTCCTATGGAAGGTGGCGATAAGATGATAGCCATCCCCAAACGCGAACAGACTGTCGAAGAAATCGAACGAACGAAACTGTTCGCTAAAGAGGTGCGCGATTGGAAGGACTTTTAATTACGCGTAAATTTCGTACATTTCCTTGAAACTGTACTTGTAATTTAACAGGTGGTCGAGTTACTGCAACACGCGCCACAATGTAAGATGCTGTTCAACAAGTTTGTACCTTCATATCATCATCACTTCGGTCATCAATGCCGCGTGTCGGATTACGGATTCACCAAGTTGATCGAATTGTTCGAAGCGATCCCGGACGTAGTCAAGATCGAGGAGGTAAACGGAGGCGAGAGACAGATATCCTTGACCGAGAAAGAGGGTCTTAAGGTCCTCTCCGAGCAAATATCGAAATTGGTGATGCGCGCCAGAAGCGGCCTAAGTGTTTCGAGCATCGCGCAAGTGTTCCAACATCAATTCGGCTGCGCGCTACGTCCCGAATCGTACGGTTGCAGTTCGATGTTGCAGCTTATGCGAAAGCTTGGAGACACCGTTCAGGTAAGACGACATCGTACAATCGATCTAATGATCGGCAACGCCTCGACTGATATTTGTATGTGACTATCTGTATGTTCTTGTATCACAGATCATAGATTTGGCTACAGGACCAGCTATCATCATAATAGACAAATCGCACTTGCAGCAAACAACCCTCCAATGCCGGCGTGTGTTAATGGACCAACCCCAAAATAGAATGCCAGTCAGAGAATTTGTACAGCAATACTCTCAGTATTATATGAAGCAATGTAATCTAGATGAGTTTAGCAAAGATCTGACAAATGTTGTTCGGGTATGTATGAATTTAACGCGACCCATTATTTATTTACACTGTTATTAAAATGTCTCAAGGCATTAAAACAGACTGATGAAATGTTCTGAATTATGCGTTTATCACATCTTAAAAATATATCTTCCAGTTCACAGTGATAAATGGCGAACAATTCATCGAGCTGACACCATTGCATCGTTTCGCCTGCGATCTTTATCGCGTAATGATGAATTATGGCGGTACATTAAACTTGTCGCAGTTTGATATGTCATACTTGAGTATCATGGGCGCACCTTGTAAACCTGCACACTATGGTTTTCCAACAATAACTGCACTTTTACAAGCCTTACCTTGCACTGTAACGATAAAGGAGACACGGAAGAAAGAAGCGATTATCTATTTGAAAAAAAAGTTAGCCGGTAAGTAAATGGTTCAAGTATGACTTCTCTTGTGTATCTCGCTGTTTAATTTAAATTTTTTATTCTTTCAGCTTCCGCCGGTATACGTTTGCCATCAGTATACAAATCGATGTCATCATCCTATCGCGATACGGATTCCAGTAACGATTCGTTTGAAAGTGATTCTTCCTGCCGCATGAATGCCTCCAATACTTTGAGCGCGATGGATCACGATCACGAGAAGTGGATCGATCAGTTGACAAACATTAATTCTTGGAAAGCGAAGGACGATAAAAGTCTATGGCCGGAAGCTCGTGATAAGCATTGGAAGAACTTGCCGAATTCGGAGGAACGCTCGATTAGCTGGTCGGTCCCGGCCGAAAGCGGCGGTGAAAGCTTCCTGAACAGTTTGATACGCACACCGATAATGCAACGTAATTTTCCTCCGCCGCCGCCCAAGCCCGACTCCCCGCCTGAGGTATTATTTCAATCAACATTAAAATTTATCTCGATATATTCTTAATTGACACTATTGATTTATCGTTTTCTTGCAGGATGTTATGTGGGAGGAAGAAGCACAACACTTGATATCATCGCTGTGGAAGTCCCCGACAAAATTTACGTACCCGCAAGATGAACATTCCACGAACGTACAGGTACAGTTCTCTCTATCGGATGTTTACACGTTAATAAAATGTTAATTTCTACATAGTTTGTTAATCCGTTGTTTCTGTTCAGGTTCCCTCGTTGGCCTTACCAAGCTGGAATCAGATTCTGGCCAGCGCCGATATATCGAACTTGTTGTCGCCAACGAAAAATCTGTTGCCCGCTGCTGCTAATCCCTTGTATCCGCCTACCTCTCCGTACTATCACAAGTCTGTCGTTGCACCACATCCGTCGGAATTGCCGCTTCCTTCTCTATCGCTAACACCCAAGAAGAAGATATTGGCGGATAATCAGAAAAAGACCGCCGCCAACGCGAGGATGCATCTCAATCTTGCAAGTTCCGAAAGCGAGGATATTATCGAGGATGACGAGAGCAGCGACAGTCATAGCACTTCTGGTAAACCCAGTGAGTAGCATTATTTATATTTTAAAAAATAATAAATTATCTTCCGTGTGTCAACTAATGTTTTATAAAATGATCTCTTATTGTACGTGTGTGCTCATTCGCTTAAAAACATCAGAAAACTATGTTTATCTCGCTAGTTAAAGGCAAGAGACGTCTGGCGGCCCAGTTCGATCAGCGGATCAAGCCATAAACGGAGAAGTACGCAAAGAAAGAGAGACGTTAAAAAGTGATAAGCTCAGGATCAAAACCAGATTGTGTTTAATCGATTTCTTCACGGAGACAACAAGAAACTATGGACTTCAACGGACTTCGGTAGATCGCCACCTAAATTGGATTTAATTACCTATGTACTGTTCCATGAGTGGTAGGTACCATACTTTATTCACACTCGAAACTTGCAAGAGATCTGTGTATAGATTAAATGTATATGCAAACCGGAAGGAAGCGATTATAGCACAAAAATTATTTTCAAAAAGTATGAAAATATACATCGATTAGAATATGATTGATATAATTTGGATTGTAATAGGAAATGCGTGAGCGACGTTTATATCGAATGACATGTGCTGATGGTTAGGAAACGTGTAGCATTTTTTCGTACTGTGATATAGGGTATAAAAAGAAGCGAGACGATAGTAAATACTGCACTAAGAAGGGAGCTTGGGATGGCAATAATTAATCTTTCCATAAATCACACGACAAGAAGCGTGGCTGGTGCATTTGTGAATTATGTAATTACATTCAGACCTTTTTTATATCGCATCTAATATTTTCTTTTATTAACAATCTATCTGTTTGATATTATTTTAATCTTATTTATGTTTGTATCAAATTTACAATCAATTTTTACTTGATTGTTTCGACTAGTTAACAATACATATCGTGAGAAAAAAATATATAATTTTTATACCTATTCCTTTTTTGTTTTATACTTGTTAAACGAAAGCGAATATTAGACTAGATTCCATATTCAAGTATACCATAACTACTTTCTTTTTGTAAATATAAATTATTTGTTGAAACGCTTCTTTCGATTTGCCTACGTTCACATTGCCAGAGACAATGTGAGTTGCATTCATATAACATACTATATGTCCGAGAAAGATATTACGTATACTTGTTGCCAATTAGAAGATAAGCGAAAATTCCCTTGTCTACCATGCACCTTCAGTTATTCATCTTGTTAATCGTCTTACCAAATTTCTCCATTCACCATTGATACATTTTTTTACTGCTCAATGTATAATTTTACGAATGTGTCATGTGAATGAGTGCGATCACGAATACAGTGATGACAGATGTGTAAAATTGGAGTGCATAATATGCTGTAATATGTTGCCACGCGATTTTCACAATACGTAAGAGAAGAGAATAATTTTATTGATGAAAAATCTTCGATGTTTTGAGATTAGTGCTTACTGTATGGCAGAAGGATATAACGTAATGGTGCGACGAGAGATAAAATTTTAACAAGGGTCGTTAAGACAAATTCGTCCAGTAATTAAATAAATGGCGATAGGTATCATGTATTTTTATTCAAAAGGAGACGAGACAAAAGTTCGCATCGAATATCTCTGTAGCAGCCATTGCGCGATATCGGTCCTCTTTTTTTTTTCGTTCAAAGACCGATGATGGGAATACATGAATTCTGCTTATGATATATATATTAAGTGCGTAATATAAGATGTATGATGAGAATGTAAGTCTTTTCGAATTGTACACAAGGGAATGAATGCGTGATGATCTCACTTTTAATCTCGTATATTTCATGCTCATTGTGTAAATATGACATGGATGTGTAATAATTTGCAAGTATAGAGAGAGATTGATTAGATTGTACTGTAGGATTATGGCTACAATGGATTCCTTTATGCGATAGTTTGCCAATTTATTGTAATAAGTTATTTAAAAAAATTTGAAGGATTTGAAAGGGATACGTTAGTGCTCGCGCTATCTTCGCTTGGACCGTCGGAAGATTCGCGATAAGTTGAACGACAGCCAGGTATCCGATATTGTAATAGTTACAAGGATCGTGTAGTATTCGTGTAGTGACTTTTTAAACTATTTTGTTAATTTATTCCTATTAAGAGAAATCGTTTCGTTACGTGTTGTATATTTATGCATAATAATGAATCCTATTGTATTTTATGTTTGCGTGAAAAATTTCCATGCGTGTAACGTGTCCTATGGCAGGGAACTTTTAATTCGCGTTCAGTCAGAGATATTTTATACGTTCGTGCAGTACACGCCGTCGCGTAAGACACACCATGCGAGGTTGTCTTACATTCTAAATGCCTAATAAGTTTTATGCGCACTCAATTCGCTTTGGCATTCGAAATGGATGGATGAATAATCTGGTTGAAACATTATGTCAAAACAGCGGGAAAACTGTAAATGAGAATTTATATATAGAAGATGATTTTATCGTAATAACAAACGAGTGAAATTGTAATGTATAAATCATCGATGGAATCGTGTCTAAATGAGTATTTCATAAATTAATTTGATATACATGTACAATAGGTATAATCTTTTTATATATTGTACAATGAGAGAAGGAATAAAAGGAAAGATTGATTCATGCAATATTCAGAGATTTGCTGTCGATGCGTACGCGTGCGCGCGCTACGTGATTTTTATGCCATTGTAAGATGCGGATTGTTACAAAAATTGCGAATGAGAGATTAAAATTCTGATAAATTATTTTTATTATATCCCGCCGTTTTTAAATCACAACACATCTGTACATATTAAGCAAACCTGCGATTCAGGACTCATAATATGCGAATGCGTTTCCCATTAAATTGTCATCTACGATGCCGGTGCAAATTGCTACGCCTTGTCTCCTTTCATACCGGTACCTACTGGACCGTGACGGCGTTCCCAGATCATACGATGTTTCTGCTTCATGTACGCATGTTTCACGTCTAAAGCCACTCCCATTTCGCCATCTGTATCATTCAAAGGAATTGATTTCAACAGAGAAATTAAACGCGCGTTGCGGTTCTGTATTGAAATGGATTTAACAAAATGCTCTGCGATAAGTTGTTCACACTTCTATCTGAGAATTTGAATTGGATGCGATTATATATAATCGTCAAGCTATATGTTCTTGGAATCTATAAATTTCTCCAGAGATAGTAACTATTCTTTGATTCATATTAAATCTATTCAATGGATTAAAGTGAAAACGAGGCACGATTTTCGATAATTTTTCAAGAAACAACTTGGACCGTGGAGAGTCAGGATACAAATTTGTTCTTATTATTCTTACAATCTCCAACTCACATTTTACAAACCAATTGACGGCTGCGTCCTCGTAAGTTTTCCTCAAAGGTTCACACACGTGTTCGTCGGCCTCGCCGTGATAGAAGGAGCACTGTTCAAAACGACTTCTCAGAATCATCAATATTTCCTCCTCCACCGTTCTGAAATAGAAATGAGGAATAAAAAGGGAGGTATCAATCGGTCGTGACGACGCCGTCGATATCGCCGGTGTCGAGGATGCTATTCTTCGCCTACTACTTCTAATATTTCATAAAAAAACTTTAATTTACTTATCGCGTAAGAATTGGCAATTTGCCTCGGTATAACAAACCACGTCGTCCGTATAACACTCGTCGATCGTCGGCACGCGACGGTATTGCTGATGATACCACGGATATTTCTTTTGGTTCGGCACTACGAATTTCTCTGCAACGAAATAAGGACGTTCAGGAATCGCCCGCGAGGCAACAACATAACCAATACGGACGATTAGATAATACCTCGGACGTAGGTGACCGGTGCGTCTATCACGTAGAACAAGGTGTTCATGAATTTGTACATGATATTGTCCTTCTCCGCCATCGTTTTATATTTAATTTAAAAAAATCAACAGCAACAATTAGTATTTTTCTCGTCAAATTATCCTTCCGTGCTGGTCGATGGTAATCACATCGCTGCGCGATGCACGGACGTCACACGTAACTGAGCGGGACGTAAGGGGAAAAGGGAAGGAGAACTAAAGAATCAGATTGGCTGTTGCAATAGGTCCAAAAAATCTGAATATGTAATAAAAAAATAAGTTTAAAATTCAAAAATAGTTATAGTGAAAAGAGAAATTGATTTCATAACTGCTGAGAACGCATAATTTCCTTTTCTCAAAAGGAGCAATATTCTTGCGTCAAGAATCCCAAGATGTATTTTAAATAATAATTAAAATTAAAACAATGATTCGTTATTTAGAGCTTCGAATCCGTCTCTTCAAAGGATATACAGGAGAAATGTGTGAGAAAATGATTAAAATTAATCTAAGATTTTTAAAAATTTATTTTTTTTCTCTGCAAATCGTGCACAGTAGAATATGGATTTACTGCGCTGGCGGGGCGGTCGGCACGCCGACGGTTCGCGCTTCTTCCTCGCGCAGACGGTCCTTCTTGAGTTGTCCCATGAAGGACATCTTGTCGACGGCGGTCTGGAAGCGACCGTGTCCGAATTTGGAGCTGGTGTCGATGAACTTGAGGTTGATCTTCTCCAGCGCCGATCTCTTGGTGTGTACCAACAAGGACTGTAAAACACGTTTCCACGTTATGTAACTTCGCTCATATAAATATCGATTGATGTAATGTCAAATATTTAATCAGTCCTATCATAAAACTATCATGGTTATCAACTTTGTATAAGGCTCTTTAGAAATGCATCATGAGTAAAGTAGAACGATGTATCGTTTGTCCATTAATGTCACTCCTTACCTTCCTGAGCGTGATCACGCGCTTTTTCGGGCCCATGCAGCATCCCTTGATCATGATGAAGTCATTGTTCACTTCGCCATAATGCGGGAAGCCACCCATTGGCGTGATGCTCTTGTCTGTAAGATCATACTCCGTCGATGCGTTGTTCTTCACGATCTACAAAATGTAAAAAGACGTTGCGATAAATATCAATCCCGATCAATAATTTCGGATGAAGAATTCATGAAGTGTTAATAACAGTGACTTTGTAACTTGTCTTGGAGGCCTAAAGCACTAATGTGAATTATGCGTCAGGTACTATGAGCAAGTAACGATTATCTCGCCTCTTTGAAAGTTAAGAATCAATCTTTTTCTCGTGTACCAAAGATCGACATAGGGAAAGAGGCACGACAGATAACTCGGATCCAATGGATCCAAAGCGATAATTACCTTGCCGTCCTTGGTATGGATGCCCTGTCCAATCCTGTAGATCTTCTTGTTCATCTCGGTACGATGGTGGTAGCCTTTCTGACCAGCACGTGCGACGGTGAAGGACACGCGGCTGGGATGCCACGCGCCGATACAGGCGACCTTTCTCAGACCCTTGTGGGTCTTGCGCGGCAATTTCTTCGTATGCCACCTAGACGTGACACCTGCAAGAAGCGGGAAAAACGTCAATTTTTTAAGAATCACCCACGCTCGTCGGACAAGAGAGCCAGATTCGATTCACAGTTAGTATTTTCTTCTTCGGTAAAGGACTTCAGTAGGAAGGCAGCATGGTATTATCCTCAAGATAATCAGATAAGTGCACGTCATGCTTTTTTCATCATATAGTCCTAAGTGCTTTCTTGAAAGCATGCTTCTCGGGATGTGTGTGCCGGGGGCAGGGCGCGGAGGGTGCCAAAGAGCGACAACTCCGGGGGGCAAACAGCACACACACGAACACATACATATGTGTAGAAACGTACCTTTGTAGCCTTTTCCCTTGGTAACTCCAATTACGTCGATCATCTCATCGGCAGCAAACACGGTATTGATAGGCACAGGTTTCTCCAGATGCTCGCGCGCCCACTGCACCTTGTCCTCGATAGTGCCGCCGTTCAATTGGATCTCCATGATATGAGCTTTTTTCTGACGCTGCCTCAACAGCTTCATCTAAGAAACAATAAAAAGATCAGGTTAATTCTTTATTATCAAGTATATCTTTATTTCACAATCTTAATACTTTAACATCGTCGCATCGTACCTGAGTATGCGCGATGATACGAACGACGCTGCAGTACTTCTTGATCTTCTTGAGATCCGCCTCGATGGACTTGCGGCCGAGGTCGTCTTGCCATTTCTTCGACGCTTTCGTAAATGCCTTCTTCTTACTCTTGTACCTGTCGGAAAATCAATTGCAATGCCCGTCTGTGCACGTGTCCTACGCCACACTTGGGTATCTCTGTAACGTGCCAGTCTCATCGTAATGAGCGGAGACTGGGCACATTTCTTGGACCAACCATATTAAAAACTTTAACGGCCATATCCAAGCGATTACTCTCATCGTGCGAGCGGAGAGCTGGTGCGATAATTTTAGTATCCGTGTAGGTAAAATAATAGCATAGTTTTTTAAAGAGAAGAACTGTACCAGGCATGGTTTGTCTCAATGGTCACTGCCCAATGGGCTCCAAAAAGTCTATGGAATATACCTTGCTTCCATGCATTCTGCGTAAACAGAGCACAGTGTTTCTCTTCGACGTGGCAGTTTCGAGAACTTACTGCATTAAAGACAGCTCTCGCACTGCAACCCAGACGGATCAACGTGTTTCCACATTGATCAACGTCCAAGTTAACACGTCGTGAATTTCAATATCAATATAAACATGTGTACTTGTTCTCGACCATTTCAAGACCTCTTGTTTTAGCTAAACTTTTTGCACGGTTCATTTTTCCTCTTTTCTTCACGTTGGAGAAAAAAAAAGAGAAAAGATGAACCGTGCAAAAAATTCAGCAAAAAGAACAGATCTTTAGATACACATAGCAAACGCGGATGGTCTCTACTAACCAGTTCTTGTAGAAACGCCTGCGGCAATCCTCCGACAGATGCTCCGCCCAGACAGTGGCGAGCGCACGAAGTCCATGCGGCGTTTCAATGTATCCGACAAGGCCAACAACGATCATCGGCGGCGTCTCAAGGATAGTAACTGCCTCCACGATCTCCTTCTTATTTACCTCTGTAAAAGAACAGTTGATATTTAGAACATGTATAAAGTAATAAAGAAACAAGCTCATTTTGAAAAGGGACTGTACTAGGTATGGTTTGTCTCAGTGGTTACGGCCCAATGGGCTCCAAAGAGTTTATGGAATATACCTCGCTTCTATGCATTCTGCGCGAGCAGCGCACAGGGTTGCTTTTCGACATGGCGGTATTGAGAACGTACTGCATTGAGGGCAGCTCTCGCACCGCAACCCAGGTGGATCAACGCATTTCTGCATCGATCAACACCCAGGTTAACACGTCGCAAGTTTATATGCATTGTTAATAAAGCATTAAATGCAAGGAAAGTTTAATACACTTAAATCCTATTGTGATTAAGTCTTTAATAACTTTATCATAACATTAATTAAATTTTTTTCCTGTAATAAATACTCACTCGAGCCAGGACGATCAGCTTCTCTCACGACGTGAGTCATACCGGCTTTGTAGCCGATAAAAGCGGTCAAGTGCACAGGCTTGCTAGGATCATCCTTCGGGAAAGCCTTCACCTTTCCGCGATGCCTTTGGGATCTCTTCTTTGGATAGAACCCCATCGACCCATGTCGAGGGGCGCTAAACTTCCGGTGCGACTGCAACACGAGATGCAGAATTTTCAGACGCGTGGACCAAGCACGCGATCAAGTTTTTTCGGCAAAAAAGAAAATCAGACCGCCCTAGAGTATTTCGTCAAGGTAATTCAGACGAAAACCATAAACTTTATTATCTAAATCATCATTTAGCGATATAAATCGCTTCGAGGCGTCGCACGAGAAGAGCCATGTGCTCGTAAAATCGTCTCCCAGTTGTTATCGCAAAATGCAAACGATACCGTCGATATTAGTTGTAATATATGTTTTAAAGTTCGAAGAAAATATTGAAGAACACGATTGCGTAGCTTTAAGACGCCGATGCCGAAGGAAATTGCAAATTTCGTTGGATTCGTAGATCTCTCACGCCGCACGCGTTCGACTTACCATGATGTCGTTGACGAAGAAAATGGAGGAAGCAAGCCTCAACGACCGGCTTTTATACCGGCTAAACACTGATTCAAACCTTAGAAACCTGAATTCTCTTTGAGAAAATTCTTGGTTTTTTCTAGGAACTTTTTTTAGCTATCCCGCATTTGATTTTCGTCCGCCCTGTGCACATGCGTCTAGATTATTTTCGTAGTCACAGGCCGCCTGTTCCTTTGGCGTCTTTAAATTACTCCAAACTTCAGACCGGACAAGAATTCTCGAATTTCTCCTAGCCAAACGTTTATCCGGTTCATCTCACGCTCACGTATTCCTTTGTATATTCACGCTCGTTCTCGCATTCCTTTGCATTCCCTTTAACCTATCCGCCCACCATATTGCGCGATCTTTGAGCCCGAGTCAGCGACCGAGCACTCGCCATCGGTGCCTGCGACAGTTCGCGATCAAATGTGAAAGTCTGTAGTCACCGCGATTGGCCTCGATATCGTCGAGTACGACGCGCACCAGGGGATCGAGTGCGCGTGCTCCACGCGAGATACGAATCGACGACATCCGTTGAAAGGCGCCCGTCTCGCTATCTCTCTATCCTATCCTCTCTCTCCCTCTCTCCCTCCTTTTCTCGCCGTCAGTGCACCACCGATTTTTCTACGCGCCTGCCTGCACCACCTCGCCAGCCAGTGTGACTCATAATAACACGGTAATGACATTAGCGTTACACGCGACTACGTCTCGCTCGCGGAGTGATTGCCCAAGATCCGTTCGTCCGCGGGACGTCGAGAGCGCGTTCGAGAGCTGTCCCCGATACCTGTCGGCCGATCCCCTACGACTCCGAAAACTCTCTGCCGTGAGTGGGATTCCGAGGGAGAATCGCAGAATGCGCTTTCGACACGCTCGAGACTAACGGCTCCAACTGTAATGCTGAACGAAAAGTTTTTGCTTAAATGTTTAGACCTCTCCTTGATTTGTATCTTAGATCAAGAGGTTTCGTCACCCCTGCCTTCTCGCGGGATGTCAGCGTGCAGCACGTGAGAGAACGATTACATCTGTAGCATCTCGGAGACGTTAGAAGATCGGAGTACAACGGGATTGCACACAGCCCTTTGTTCATCCACAAGGAGCAATGATGGATTTAGATCCACCAGAATTTCTGTCAAAGGACGATGAGATCCAATATTGGATGGATCTTGCGAACCAACTGTTTCAAAGGTATATTGTTTTTGTTTCGAGCTTCAGCGACATAAAATGTAAGCTGTTGGCGTCAATGCAACAACGGTTATCACAAGATTTGTATCTTAAATAACTTAACAAAATCAAATGAAAAATGCTGTTATTTTGCAGCCCTACACAATGTTGTTCTATTCTGAGATTTTTTTCTATGTGATTAGAATGCAAAATTTTATTGCAGCATTCTTTGTACACAGTAAACATAATAGAATTTACTATAACGATTTCTTTTTAAAGTAAAATACTTAAAAATATCGTTTATTAAAATCACAGGAAAGATGATGTCGAGCGAGAACTGGAAGAATTCCAAGAGAATTCACAGATGCTGGAGAAAGAGCTGGAGACCTCCTTAGAGCAAGCGGAAAAGACGAATAGGGAATTGAGACAGAGAAATACGAGACTCGCCACAGAAGTCGAACAGTTAAGGACGCGACTAGATCAACAGTCTGCGGATTGCGCCATGTTCCAGGGAAAGGCGCAGGATTTACAGCAACAACATGAGCATCTACTGAAGTACATCAGAGAACTCGAACAAAAGAATGACGACTTGGAAAGAGCACATAGGTATTTCATATTTTCTTATTAAACTACGTATTAATAATTTGACGGTTAAATAAAAGCTGTATTTCTCTTATAGGATAAATAGGGTTACGGAAGAGGAAATAGAAGCTAAGTTTAATTTAGCTATAGAAAAGAATGCCTTGCTCGAATCGGAACTCGATGAAAAAGAAAGCCTGAAAGTCATAGTGCAAAGACTGATGGACGAAGTTAGAGGTAATTGATAATCCTTTTACTTACATTTAACACAACGACAATTAATACTCTGCGATATTTTAGACTTGAAGCAGGAGATACAAGTACACGAAAGACATCACGCCGATAATAACAAGTCTGCTGAAAGAGTTCGTAGCATCGTCGATAGTAACAAGCTACAGGCCGAATTGGAGTCGAATTCACCCGCGAGCCAAATAGTCCCACAAACCATACCTCAGAATAATACGACGACTTCACCGATAAAAAGTAGGTTGTGCAAAATTTTTGTTAAGGCAAAGTGCGTTTTTCATTTTGCTTCGAGAAAGCGTTCGTCAAAATTGATAAATGTGACAAATCATGCAGATGTCAAAAAGTGCTTGAATGGTTAAGAAGATAAAAGTATGATAACCGTGTAGTACCTACTGCAAAAAATGAAAATTTCTAGAATGAGTATAGATCAATCTCTCTTTCTATAATCTTTACTTTATTATTTATCTTGAAATATTTAACCATTTAACAACTTGTGAAATTAAGAAGAGATCAAAACAATGTGCAGTATGCATTGATGTAACTAAATAAATATTTTTGACAGTATTTTCTTTTCCTTTGTTTTGGCTTCTCCAAAAATTCTTTTGATATAATAAAATTATATAAATCTAATGATAGACATAAAAAATTTATAATTTTAACTACTTTAACAAATTTATAATTTTATTTCGCTACAAATGATTTAAGTCATTCATTTTTATTCTTGTGTTTTTTGCTAGTTGGACACGGGATGGTAGGGGGTGTTATTGGGAACAACAATAACAATGTGAGCCAACCATTGCCACCCTGCACTAGAATACTGGCTATGAATATGATCGGTGACCTCATGCGAAAAGTCGGGGTAAGCATATGCAATACTTTGATAATATTTCCTTTACTACACTCATAGTTTTCTAAGCTTGAAGCATGGCTTGTATGTTTTTCTGTATCTTTACGCATAACGTAAATGAGTCTGTTTTCTATTGCTGAACTAGTGCAGCCAATTCAGCAATAGAAAACAGACCCCATTATACCCTATATAGTTGCTGTATATGATTTTAATGGTACAAAGCAATTATTTGTGTTGATATGGATTCAGTTTTTACAGTCAAGTAGTCGTTTAAAAATACTATATCGTAATTAAGTTGATAAAACGTATAATTATGTGTATATATGTAACATACAACAAACGTAAATATTTCCTACACATTGTAAATAAGTCGGACTTGATTTGCACTTGGAGTTGGGAGGTAGTGTGATGTAGCTGGCATTTTGGTAGCTTGACAGGTGGGTCTGTATGAGCTGTAGGAGAATAAAATGCACTTGTCCGGGCGGAAAAATATCGAATACCACTTCGTCTACTGGCCCATCGGCGGCCCAGACTCACGCGTCTCCTCAGTGTATAAGGCAACAACCTAGACCGACCGCGTGCAGATCTTCGTCGTGATTTCTCATCATTAAATTATTTTGCATCTCCTTAAAGAGCAGGTCTCAATATTTTATTTTTTCGTTTATTACAAACGCTTTTGGTCATCTGCGTTTCATTATCCTGGTTTACGCATTACCGAATATTCCACACCCATATTTAAGTATTAAAACAGTGACTCCACGCGCACCTAATATTCCTGTTGATCTAACATTTGTCACAGCCTTGTTAATCCAACATTTGTCGCAATCTTGTCAATATAACATTTGTCGTACTGTCTATCGTAGCTCTGAAGATATCATTGAAAAGTAACATATTTCTCTAATCACAATTATTCTTCTCTACAGGCGTTGGAGAATAAGCTGAACACGTGCAGAAACGCGTTTCGAGAAGATCAAGTTCGCGATCTCTACAGGTAACACAACAGTCACGTTTTAATCATGTTAAATTGTGTTGTTATATTCCTGTTTTATCATACTCACTGCACTCACAAGTAAATATGATGTATTTATCTTACTTTCTTTTTTATCGTGCCGTATACAATCAGTCTCGAAAGCACATTCTACGATAAATTTCGAAATTCCGAACAAAATCACATGAAATCATATGGTACACGATATACTCACTGACTTAATCGTACTTATTGTTAGTGTAACATGTTGGTTGTGTTTCGATTATTCTTGTTACGGTCAACGCCAAGACCTGCAATTTATATGTATAAATATATATATATATTTAAGGCTTTTTACGCAATATTACGTAGTACTGATCTTCCTAGAATATTGAGACGTTTTTTTTATAGAAATAGATGTCTCTACTTGATAGATGACTGCCCTTATTACATATAACAAAGATTCTTTATTTTTAATTAAATTTAAATTAAAAATTTATTTACATCTCGTGTTGTATTAATCTTAATTTGCTCACTTATGACTATTTATAATATGTTGCTTCTATATTATATATATGTATAGGAAGTTTATAGCTTGCTTATGCTTCTTAGATCACTGTTAAAACTAAGTCTGCAAGCAATTAATGACAATGACGTAGTATTTTAATTACTTGTATATTTTCTAAACGTGTTGTGCTACGTTGAGTATGTTCAAAAATAAACATTTTATTATTTCCTGGATTAGAAGCTACATGAAGGATCTAAATTTTATTTCATCAAATTAAACATTTATTTGTGTGCATATTTATTTCCCGAGATAAATATGTACAATGATTCTTTATACTTGTGTTGCATGCACAAGAAAGATCTTAATGCAAAGTGCAATAGATAACATCTCCCTCAGTGTTTGAATTTTTACATACAAGTATAAATTTGAACATGAAGTAGTTACAGTTAAAATATACATATGATATACACACAAGAATACACGTGCGTATATAGTCTGTTTCTCTCAATCACAATTCGTTTCGTTCCATTGAAATGATAGATATGACTGCGTATTTTATTGCAATGTTCAGCTTGCTAACGGATAAATATTGCATAAGTCCTCTAGAAAGACTCGTTGCAGGAAATAGAGCAAGTCGTTATCATTTTTATAATTAATGCAACAGCTAAATCCCGCGCGCGTGTAGACGAGGATACAGCCAAGTACAAAATGTTTTAAAATTGTGAAAAACTGTGGTAATAAGCTATACATAAACTTAGCGATAAAATGCGTGTACATAATGTATATAGACGCTAAGCACCACGGTACGTGCAATTACATTAAGAATTTGTTTCGGTCCTAAAATAAAAATTGTAAAATAACAATGCGCAGATGCGTGTTTAAACAGCTTTGAAACAGTGTTCACGTACGTTGTAAAGAATGCTTCTTTTTACTTATTTACTGCCATATTGAGTCTATCAGTCTATGCTGACGAGAGATTATTTGTGGCTCAATCTATATAATTCTGTAAAGAAGTATTGACAGAGACAATGTACATACCGCACAAAATACGAAACGCTACACTTGTGAGTCCCTCCTTGCATGAATTAGCTACCGTTATTTTTGTTGCATCCTTACGTACGGTATGACAAAGACGTCATTATTAATGTTACGTTTCCTTTTAATACATATATGTCAAATTAATTTTAAAATTGTACATTCAGAGAATCTATGCACGGATGTTAAATCACAAAATGTTGATTTTCGCAAATACTCGTTCGGTATATTCTTTTTTTTTTTAAGCACCAGATAAACGTAAAAATAATATAACGAAAGATTGTTGCGTCTGTTCAATTAGAGCTAGACGACAGGTCCGAAGCCCAGCCACAGGAAACAACAATCACATTCGATTGTAAGCGAATGTAATGGAAAGGACATAATCGCAGCGATCATATGTCCGTACGTCACGTTGCAATCCCGATGTTAACGTTAATCGGAAATTTTCTTAAGTGGATTCGAGTTTCGTTAAGTTAGTCACCGAGAGCTCACGCAAGATTTGGAAGGCGTCGTCGTGTCTCGGCGTGAAAAATTGTTTTCTGGTATATAGGGACACAAGATAAATAGATCTTCATGTATTCCTCGGACGTATGAGTCTCCCGGTAGCGGTACTTCAGGCCGCGTCAACGATACTTGTCGCGATAGCTTATTAGAAAACATTGTGTAGAATTAATTATAACGGCACGTCGATGAATCATCGCTATCATCGCATAATATCCGATTGTTCCAAGTGTGAAGTGGATGTCGAGTGACGACTGTAATTATTGCGGGCGATAGTTTTTCAGCGATACCGACAAACGTCGTTAACAGGGAATGTAGTACCGCTACGGTATACCGTGTCTCCGTTCAACATTTTTGTCACAATAAATGAAGAATATATTTTATTATAAGAAAAGGAAACTCTTGTCGCCGTGTAATAACTGAAAATATATTAGTACTGACGACTTTTCAATCGACTTCTCCACTATGCTAATGTTCAAGCCTACTACGCTACATTAATATAATAAATATATGTGATTGCCACGCGCGGCAACGTATAGCCGTGTAGCAAACGATAATTGATTGTCATGTAAATATAATAAAAAAATAACAAGATAAAAGTAACAAAGTATCGTTACTTGTATATCCGAAGAATATTTATATATCTGAATCAGGTACTCTTTTTCTCTTTGCATCAATCGCCGTCGAGACGTTTAGTGATTTCCTTCTTCGACATCGCGCGACACTACAAAAGTCGCTTAAAAAAGGAAATTTGTAAGTAAATATACGGATACAAGAGAAGGGTTTGAGACAATAGGATATTAAGCCACACGAAAATCTTGGTGCTCGTGCTCTTTTACGAAATCGATGACCTCAATAAAATCTTGCATTCCCGCCGGGGGTGATGTTAAGGGATAGGCATAGATGTTGCAAAATAAAATAGCTTACGATTCGTAGAATTCTTCCTAAATTATTCCTTCGTTAAATTTGTGACTTGCTGTATTATTGCCTCGAACACTTCCCGTGTATCAAGTATAAGTAGCAGTGATGGCAAAATTATTATTTATTAAAAGCGAAATATTTGTGACGTTTGTAGGTAATTACACAAGTAATAAGTAATTTTTGAACTTAATAATTAACGCGTAGGGTATAGTATATAATTTGTATTTACCATTGTCTATAAATAATTAGTGCGTATACTTTGTAAAAATGTGTACTTTTTAGCGCTTTAAACGTATTTCTAAACATACATAATTCTTCTATTTTTTTAATATTCTGTAAAAATAAAATTCTTCAATTGGAAAAGTAATTACTTTTTCGCGACGACCGATTAGATCGACTCCAATAATTATGTGTATACAAACACATGCGTTTATTATAATATATACAAAGGCTAGCAAAATGCAATTGTGCCGAGTTTACATCCAAAGTTTAGTTCTTTAAACTGCATTACAAGAAAAAAAAAGAATCGTCGGCCAAATATATAAAAAAATTGTTATCCTGAATAGAAAATCATAGTCTCGAATTGTATTATGAGAGAATGTGTGAATTTCGATCAATAAAACCCCTATAAATTTAATGACGTACGTGTTCGTAATTCAAACGTAAATCCACACTTAAACTTTCACAGGCGATTATTCGGCTGGAGTAGTTCAGACAAAGCAAAGGTAAAAATCGTGCGAATTCAGATTTATTTACGAAATGCGTTTATTTTTACACAAATTTTTACACAATGCTTTAGGTGATTCAAAATGATTCATGTAACTCGAGTACAATCAGAGATCTAATATGTTAAGCACTACATTTTGGGTCGCTATGAGGGTGTCTTACTCTAATGCACACTTTTTTTTCCGAGTACTGATAACGATATAATGACATTGTTATAACATTAATGACGGTAAAAGGGGGTAAATAATGAAGGGAAAGAAAACGCCAACTAACGATGTCTAATCAAAACTATTATTTAACAAAACTCAGCGTAAATCAAATCGCGTAAATCCGTGAATATCCACCCGGTATACATATATGTGAAAACTGAAAAGCCAAGTGCGTTGAGGTTCCAAAAGAAAAAAAAAAAAAAAGAAATAAAAA